TGCTTACTTTCAATTCATGAATGAATAAAGCATGGACATGGTTGAACTTCTTTGCATAGAAATACGTTTAAAATAACAAAATCAAGACATATTTAATGCAATTACATTTATATCGAGTCAATTTCTTTTCAATAATACAATCGGGATTTATAATAGGTACCGGTGATTTGGATATTTTAGCTCCAAAAATACCTTTAAATCGACTGTATCTTTCAGGAGTTCAACAGAACTTTTCCTTTCTTCGCTTAAATTATTCCGTAGCACTTTTCTTCAAGAATCTGATAAGATATTGCTGGGGGCAGATCAAAAAACTTAAACTCGTTCGAATGGCTTTCTACATTCACAATACACGGTCTCGTCAAAGTGCGTCGTCGAAGAGTTGGATCGTATGAATTCTCTTGTTGTGCTACTTGCCTATTTTGAAATCTCTGTAATTGTAAACTAAAGGGGTTGATATGTGTGAGTTAATGACGCGCCTTATCAACACATTGTGTTGGAGTTCACTGCTTGTTCCCCTTTCCTCATACAATATTCTCGGTGAATCGATGATCATCACAAAGAACAAAATATAATCCACCTTTTTTTGAAAGGAAAGGCACGGACATTCGAAGCTGCATCTTGTCTAAATTTAACTGATTTAAATCAAATGAGACCATCACCATTGTAATAAGGGCCCTGTAATGCATGTATTTCCAAGAGTCTCAGGGCCCAGGCTAAAAGAGATAGAGTTCCTTTTGATTTAAATACGTCAAATTGTTGAAGCTCGAGCAATAAATTTACGCCATCCCGACAATTAGTCGCATCAGTTGATCCGATAGACCTTTCACATATACGTGCACCTGAAGTGCCCAGCCGGTGAAAAGTTTCATAATACCAAAGGTCCAGCGGCCGCACGTCGCGAGACCTTGGCTTACTTGCCGCGCCGTAAATGCATTCATATGCACAACGTATTCACGAGTGGACATATCGTCGCTCTTCAGACGAAGAGGCGTATCTCAATGTTCAACTGAGCCCTGTTTTACATATAAATGCATGTTATCTAAGGCTCAAACGGGAATCGAGATGCGCTCTTACGTCAGATGAGCGACGATATCTCGTTTTTATAAACAGATACTCAAACGCTGCGCTTTAGCCACGAATGATTAATTTACACCCATCCTAACCGATGGATCCATACTTGCAAATATTGATGTGGTTTTTGCCAGGTTGATTTTGTCTGCAGTGGATCACCTGTTTTAGGTCCGGCAAAATGTCACACCAAATTAATACCGCTGACAGGTGAGCGAAAATGAATAATGCTTTGGAAATGTCGAGTATTCGATGACGCCAGCGAGAGATTAAGGGATCGTTCAAAAAGGTTGACTGCTTTATGCAGAAAAGAGGTGTTTTACAGGCTTATCTAAAAAAGCACCTATCTGCATAAGGAAACTGATGCCACATATAGATGGATAAAATGCAAAACTGCGTACCTGCGTTTGCGACGTTGTAGACTTCCTGTCTTGCTTTAATTTTTCTTTGAAAAGCGTGTCAAGTTACGAGTAATATCTTGAAAACTTCCGTGATTTATCTTCTCTATTAGCAGAATATCCAGCAGAAATTTCAAGCTGTATAGTTGACTTTTTTCTCCTCGAAAAAGTATAAAAAGAGCAGAGGTTTTGATATATTACAAGAAAGATACGTGGTTTCGCGCCTTAGCCATCGATGTGTGTGTGTTTCTGTTTAATTGAATCCAAGAAAGTTAGTTCCTCCATGCGCAATTTGGTCCAATCACGCGAAAGCGCCGAAAGGATGGAGGGGTCCCTCCCTTTAGAGACCCTAAAGGGGCCCTTATAGTGTCTGACAAAGGAATATCAAGTATGACATGACGTAAAGCTACAGAGATCCTTAAACCAAAAATTTGAGCGGTAGAGCAGATGTACCGATTGAATTTTCGAAAGTTATCAAATTTTCTCGCGATGTGATGGATCACCTAAGACTAAAAACTAAAGGTTTTCAGCGGACCACACGCGGCCCCCAAACATTAAATGTTGATGACCGGCTAAATAACGTTTATAACTTTATTATTTGGTTAGGACTGGGTTAATTACAAGGAATTAGTCGTGTAGTCCGTGTTACCGCACGGTCGTTGTCAAGTGAAAGTAAACCGAGCAGCAATTATTTTCAATGTCGTCCAACGAATGCGGTTACTCGCGGTCATCTTGGTGCTGAACTGGCTAAATTCTCTGGTGCTCTGGTGAACTTTGGGGGAAACGAATTGTCCTTTGCCCTATTTTTCACATTTTAGTCGGGTGTCCTCTCGTTTTTTCGCAATTGAACTCATTCATGTACGAATATACATTCTATCAAGCTGAATTGGCAATTGAAGCCCAATACGGCTTCAACAGAGAGATCGTTTTATTGATACCGCATACTTAATGTTGACTTACCTTGTATGTTCCAAATATTGTATTTTTGAAGTCATCACCACGTTTTGAAAACGTTCAAAATTCATGCCTCAGTTGACAAAAGATCGTATTTGCACACCGAGAAAGCCCAGAAATGTTCACAGCTTCTAACATCGATGACCAAAGTGCAAAACAACGTAACCCCATTACGATGTATCCAAATTTTCGTTCCTATTTTATTTTTCGAGGAGAGATTAGCCAACTTTTCCAGCGTGGACTTTTACAGAGTACTCTGCTAACTCAGAGGAAAAATCAAGGAATTTACCAAGAAATTACGACGACTAGTTTTCTATTTGAAAAATAAAAAAAGACAAGAAACCTGCGACGTCGCAAATGGGGATATGTGGTTTCGCAATTTTATCATCGACATGTTAACGTTTATAAAGCTGAGTTTCCACATACTTACCCCAAGGAGCAAGCTCAAATACTGCCGTGCCAAGGAAGAACGCCGTATGAACATTCGAGAGTTGCCAAATTTCCCCGAATAAAACACGTATTTTTTAAGGAGGCTATGCATATTTTTCCTTAAAATTTTCAGATATCTCAAATGAAATTGCGAAGGAAGAAACAATATTCAAAATGAAGAAATATTCAGAAAATGAATATTCAGAATTTTCATGAATATTGCGAATGAAGAAAAAATATTCAAAATTTTCCTGCAGTAAATTCGTTTTTTATCGAAAGTAATCTGGCAACGCCTAAATACTCATTGGGCGTTCTTCCTTAGCACGGCAGAAAAGGAACTTAACGAAGCAAAAGGAGAAGTTTTGCGTGGATGTCGGAGCCTGAGCGATACTTCTTCTTTCGCATGGATTACTCAATAAATTATGACGTTCGAGAGGTGACGTCACAGCGGTGGAGCTCAGCTTCGATTTTAATCGTCGGAACTCAACGGAGAGCGAGAGCTTCTTGCAGCTTATAAAATTACCCACTGGTGAAGTAGGTTAAAAACCTCGCGTTGAGTTGCACTACCTTGGTGCCAGTTTTGGCAAATTTCGGTTTCCTGCATGTGGCAGGTTGCAAGAGATAATCCGAGACATTCGTTCGAAATGGAACCAAAAAAGTGGTTTGAAAGTTGTTAGGCTATCCCCTCTATCTTCAAATTGTTAAAAAGCCTATCTCGAATATTATTAGGACCGCGTTAAGCAGAAAGGAACCAAACCCTGTCAGCTATGGCCAAATTCAACCGGGCGATTTAATTTTTTACACGATTATAGTTACTAGTACTTAGCAAATTCATTAACATTTTCAAAAGAATTCGCCAAAACATTCTCTTGTAAAACATTAAATTGCCCAGTTAAATTTGGCAGTAGGTGACGTGGCTTGGTTCTTTTCTGCTTAACGCGGTCCATTAGGAATAAAATGTTTAGGCAAATAACAGTGTCGAACACGAAAGCAAGACTGCCGTGATTTCGAACCAAACATTACTGAAGCAACGTATGCTCCAGTACTGCCGTACTGAACAAAAACGCTGTAACAGTCTCTTGCTCAACATATTTGATGAGTCGGGAAACACACATGAAAGTTTGGAGACTTAAACGCAGCGGTAGAGAAGTAAATCATCCTTCATCCGAGACACTTGATGAGTCGGGAAACGCAGGAAAGCTTGGAGACTTCAACGCTACCGTAGAAAAGTAAACATTTCACGACGTGACAACTCCTCATTCAGTTCAATTGCCCATGGCGGCCATGACAAGACGGCAGCAAAACAGTCTCTTGCTCAACACATTTGATAAGTCGGGAAACACACATGAAAGTTTGGAGACTTAAACGCAGCGGTAGAAAAGTAAACCATACTTCAAATGGCGAGAGTTCCATTAATCGTCGAGTCCGGTCGGCCATGATAGTCATAAAGAGAAACGTTCTCTCGTCCGAGACATTTGATGAGTCGGGGAAGACAGGAAAGTTCGGAGACTTTAACGCTACCGTAGAAAAGTAAACCATTTTATGACTTAAATACTCCCTATTTGTCCAGTTCCAGCTAGCCACGATACCTATGGTCAACAATTTGAAGGCACGGCTGTTTCTAGCCGTCGAGATGATACAATTCAAACGCTTATAACATAATCAAGGATGCAAGTGATGGCTTAATATTGTGACCCTATGTTATTGAGAATATAAACAAAATTTTAACTTTCAAAACTAAAATCAGTGCTTTTAGCTCCAAATCGACATTTGTTGTATTTAACGATTTAATTTTTCCATGAATAGCCTTTCCTGACTCCGGCAAAGTTGTTTGAAACCACGCCAAATAAGTTTGCGTACTTTTATAAAGTGACAGAAGATCCGCCATCTTGATTCCTCCATTTACTTTACATGTGTAACAATCATCTGTCGCATGTATTGAAGTATGTAAACTCATTTGTCTTGGGCTATAGTATTATCCTATGGAAGAAGTTCATCAAAGTTTACAAAACCATCCTTCATAAGAGTGTTGATTTTGTCAGTCTGACTGGATGTATTGGACAAGTAAACAAGCACCACAACAATGTACTAATTTTTCAAGTTTTCTTCCTGCTCTTGAAACTAATTGAAATTTTGGTTTATTTGTTTCAGTGAAATACTTCGAGTCATGCAAAAGGAGTTCACCTACTTTTGACAAATGTATCCGCACAGCGCTAAATTCTGTCACACCTTATTTTACGACAGGTAAAACATTACTAATATACCCACGTGACTAGGTTCAGTTCAAATGATAATAATATGGCGACTTTGAAAGTTGCTTTAAATTCGTTTTCGAATGAATATTAGTTGTGCTTATATATATGCTTTAGGTCCAGTGCTATAAGGATACCGACAACATGGACTTTTATAAACGCACCTGTCTGTAGTGATACCAACAGTAGACGCATCGTCCCTAAATTAAGGAAGTAAAGCTAACCTCTTAAGATTAAAGGTCGTCTCCGTGGATTCGGAAATCGAAATTTTCCGGCACTGTTCGTAATTTCTTTCATTTAGAGCTTCTTTTGAAAATGCTGGAATGATCATCATATACCATTTTAGAAATGTTAATTTCAATTTATATTTCAAGATTCTGGAGGGTGAAAAAAAGAAAAAAGAAAATCACTGGTTTTGAAACTTTGAGGAAATTGAAAAGCGGATACAAGCTGTAAGCAGTATTTATAAAGCAGCGTTAATTGAACGTTTTCAGTCTGAATATGCGCTCATAATCACGAGTTAACTTCGATGACTAAAGGAAAATTTTAAACTTTGTTTTCGCAGAGAATCTTTTGCAATTTTGTCTAGTTGTCGGAATTTCAACAACAGTTTTCCTCAGTTTGGGAAATATTTTTTGACAATATATCACGTATAGCACGCACAGTATTGATAAACTTATTTTCTTAAAGTTTTGCAAATACCTATCTAATTAAAAATGCATAATAAATTTCAAAATTTGCTTTCAGAATAGTGCTAGATTTATTTTAAGTAGAAAAAATATCATTTCCATATGATTTTTCACTCCTTGTTATTTTGCTGATTCTAGTATTTGTTGTTCATGTAATATTTTATTTAATGTTTGAATCTTTACTTAACCGTTATGTTTTAGACAATCAAGTTATAGAGTCTTTTTCGGAGTCTATAGAGTCGCTTAGAGTATTTTTTAATGAGGTACCTATGCCTTAGCTTAAGCCCTTGTATTCTGAAAATCGGACATCTTACAAATTTATTCTGCCATGGATTGAAGTTTGGAAACTGCAACACTGTATAATTTATAACAAAAAATTTTGAATTTTGCAGGTGTGCCCGATTTGAAAATCCCTCCTTTTGATCCGTGGTTTGCGGAGGAAATAATTCAGAAGTGGGGTGGACCAGGCATAGGCTACAATTTAAAACTAAGAAATGTTCGAGAGGCCGGATGGAAGCAGTCTCTCGTCACAAAGTTCAGGCGAGTTATATTTTTCATCAATCATAAATCATCATAATTTAAAATGACAATTTCTATTAAATACATAAATATATTATACTTCAGCAGATAAAGCATCAACAGGTTTTGGTTAAAAAAATGTTCAGTGTGAGTCGCATTCAGAGACTTTTGAATTTTAAATTGTTTAGATATAGCTTTAAGTTCAGCCGCGATAAAATTTCCGTAATCCATTGAAAACATTTAAGTATGTAGTAGACAGTTAATGATCAATAATTCACACTGTAAAGAGTCTCTATCAGCTCCGTTCTTGCAGCAAAGCTCCAAGGAGAAAGTTATCTGGCAAAGTCTAATTTTAGTCATTACGGAACCTACGATCTCAACAGCTTTTATGTCAAAATATTGCGCTCTGAGTCATTCCCTCTTGATATTAAATTTTCATTGCTATGATGGCTCTCTTACTCGCAATATATCGATGACCAAAATGCGAAACCACGTATCTCCATTGCGGCGTTTCAAGACTTCCGTTCCTATTTCATTTTCTCGAGATTTCATATTCGAAGAGAAACAAGCCAACGTTATACCTTGAATTTTTTGCAGAATATTCTGCTAACGGAGAAAAAAATCAAGGTAGTTTTCAAAAAAATGATGATAAGTTTTCCGAAGGAAAAATAAAGTATGACAGGAAGTCTCTAAAACGTCGCAAACAAATATACGTGCTTTCGCACTTTTGCTATCGATATGGTGCCAGGGTGCCCTCTTGCTAAGTTTCAAGTGACTTGTGATATAATGGGCTCAGAATTTCCAAATAATTTAACAGTAGGTTTCCAGTTGCGGAAGTCAATTTATCTTGGTCTAGCGGTCATGAATTAATCAACATTATTCGATCCAGCGGAATGATTAATTGGCTGTGAAGAGTTTTCATTTCCGTAAGATTTCATTAATCTAGACTTCCGTAAATTATTGCAAACCCGTAGTTCGGAAATTAGACTTGTCTTGTGTTGATTCGACAGACCGACTCAAATGGCCTGTTGGGAGGTGCGGGGATTTGCGAATTGATAACTGATTTCGATGGAAAATTTTACGAAAAGAACGGTGATGCAATTAAAAAACCTTGAAATCACCTCCCAAACTCTAAAAAAGCTGTTTGAGGGCCGACCCATTCAAAACGGTCTCTGATTCGGTACATTCGTGACGTCACAGTACATGACAAACCTAGTCTTCTCATAAAGCTGTTGCCAATTCCGTATGAGAACTACATTGTAAACGATGAAGAGACCAGGTTTGCCATGTATTGAGGCGGCACGAGTGTACTGGATCCAGTGGCGTGGCGTAAATTGCGATGGATCAATTGTTATGCCATTTAAATCTACGGAAAAGGATCGATAAACAGCGTGTTCGCAGCAAACACCTTAATAATAGATTCTTTACCATGGGTTTGTATGGAAAAACAATCGATACATCGCAATTCACGCCACGCCACTGACCGGATCCATTTCTGCGTAAACGTGACCGTTTTGAAAATCTGAATTTGGGGGCGTTATTAGTTGATTTGGGNGGGGGGGGGGGGGTTGTTTGCGGTAGTCAAAAAACTTCGAGAAAATTCTTGTAAAATCAGGATGTTTAGTGCTCTTGATACAACCAATATAAAAAAAAATTGTGCCACAGGCCTATTCAAATGGACTCAGAGAAAACAATACAGGCATCCTAGGCGTACCTCTTTTTCTAGTCCTAGTCTGCAATATCACTTTCCTGGAAACAAGAAGTATTATGGTCTCGGTATTAATACTGCATCACTATCGGAACTAAAGAATTGGTACCGGAACTAAACTTTTGATCACCATAACTTTAACTTTGAGCATTTTAAGATTTGGAATCTTTATTTACAAAATTATTTATGCTTCATCTTCAGGAGTAATGCAAAGGCACAAATGATCGTGTACACTCAATACTTCCCCGAAAAGTACCTGGAAGGAGAATGGGAAGCTGAAAGCAATCTCATCCAACAGAGAGAAAACCGCGGTGTTTTCAATTTGACACTGTGTAAGTTACGTTTATTTTTAATATTTTAAGTAATTAATCAGTCAAAAAATTGGTGTGTTTATTCTGCAAAATAATACAGGCTGTCTCAAATTAGGAGCGTGTTTTATGGATCACAATTATACTTCCTCCTCGATAAATATTTTTTTATTCGGGAGGGGTCGAAAATGCTCCCAATCGGATCTCAACCGGAGCAAAATTTACGGTCCAAAATTGATGGAATAATTCCCGACTGCACTATGTTTACTGAATATGTCCATCTTAAAGTTGTTTACATTATTTGGTCCTTATCACTCGTTGTTCCGCCTGAATGTTGATTTCACATTTTTGTCTGTGTTTAATTTTTTGATAACTCTTTCATTATTTTTCCTTGGCGTTTTTGATGATAGTCTTTAACACGCTTTGTGATACATCTTTATCTTTATATAGTGCTCTTTCTTGAATTTTTGTGAATTTTTCTCGCTGAAGATGGCTTTTAGCCAAAACTCATCCGCGAAAACATACTGTTAATTCTTCATAATATGCGAGTACTGGTGTATCATTCAATTAATTATTTATCTCAAAATAATGTTCTCAAAATGTATTCTTTTTGTCCCTTCATGTAACAGTCAACATGACAAGGAAAAAATTGGTATCTCTTAGATAATTTGTAGATTATTATTTTCAATGTTGAGCAATAGTCATTATTATTTTTTTATGCTTGTATGAATTGTATCAACAAATGTTTGGATGGAAACATGTGATGTTTGGCCTCATTTTTAGAGCAGATGTTTTTAATCAATGCTGTTATTTTTTTACAGACGAGTACAATCAAACTACAACTATCTATAGATCAAAGAACACGAAACGACTGAAGGTTAACATTCAAATGAAAGAAGTTGGTAATCTGAAGCTGCATATCAGTAATCTATTAAGAGGCAGGACATTTTTAGGTGAGACTTTAATTTTTACAGGAAACGCCGCGCATTCTTGAAATCGCAAAAATTAAATTAAATTAATAAATTAATGAAATTTGATTTCTTGTTGGGCGGCAGAAAAACAGCCCAGAAGCCTGCCCTCAGCCAACATTTTATAAAGTCCCAAATAAAAGTCGGCAGAGAGAGCTTTTACTGTGCTTCGATAGCAATTCCAAATTAATTACTCATTATTTTTTTGTTTATTTTATTTTTCATTTTCTTTCTGAAATCATTATTGATATGTTCAAATTCATTATTGAAGTTCATTTATTTCTGGGAGAAATTCCCAGTTTTGCGTAACATTTTATTTTTCATCAATATCGACGGTGAAACTGGGTACCAGATCACGTATCTCGTTTACAGTGTTTAAAAATCTCCGCTCTCATTTCATTTTTTTGAGGAGTGCAAATCGATATCATTCCTTGAAATTTTCAGTCTCCTCGTACAGAGAGGAATAATCACGGAATTTTTCAGGAATCGACGTTTATTAGTTTTTTATTTCAAAAATAAAGTCTAAAAGGAAGTCTTCAACGTCGCAAACCGAGATGCTTGGTTTGGTAGTTTCACTGTCGATATATAATCTCAAAGAATAATTTATTCTGTTATCCAGTGTATTGACGTGAGATAATTGTGAATGGTGATATAATGTGGATTTTTATTTTTTACTTCAATTTCAGAGGGAATCCTCGACAGAATGATCAACGGTTTCTGGAGGCCAGGTCTAGTTTTTGTTCGTCCGATGGTCAACGACGTAGTCTCAACAGCTTTCACGGATATTTACAATAAGCATTTTAATGATTTTGATCTGAACACGATTTTACCGGCGGAATAATTCTTATTTGATTGTAACACTACTGAAGTAGGTGACCAATTGCGCAGAGTTTGGTGCAACAGTGTTACATTTGTTGCAACTACATAGCAACGAATGCAGTTTTGTGCGACTCATTGTTTCCATGGTACACGTATTTTTGTTAATGATGCGTCTCATGATCTCTCCTGCATTACATACGGATCATCGAGCCGTAAAAGAGACACTATACACTGCCGAGCTGAGGAACAACGCCGTATGAACATTCGAGTGTTGTCAAATTTTCTTCGATAAAATGTTAATTTTTTGCGGAACGTTATGAATATTTTTCTTCGAAATTATCAGGAACTTCTGATGAATTGCGAACAAAATTATCTGACAAATTGGAAGGAAAATATCCATAAACTTACAAGGAAATTCGTGTTTTATCAAAGGAAATTTGGCAACGCCTGGAGGGTCACACGGCGTTTTTCCATAGCACTACAGTGCAATTGAATAACCATGTTTAAAATTTGCCAAATGATTCCGCACTTTGGTGCGAATAAGTCCCAACATGAATGTACATCGTAAGCTGCCATAAGATTGGGACTCATGGGGCTGCATCGGTAAATTTCTTTTATTATATTCTTGACCAGCAAATACGATATTTTTATTCCAGCGCATTGTGCAAAAAATATAGATATACATTGCAGTCGCAATGAGTCTAAGAAACATTTATTTGCAAAATCTTGTATGAAACTTATGTGGTTGTGAGATGAAAAACAGCGCATAGAGTCGTGCATTTCAACTTTTTAATGCATTTGTAACAACTTTTGCTCCAAACTCCGCATTAATTCCGACCATAGAAGTACTTGCAGCGGTACAACATTAAAAAGTTTGGATGTTATTTTAGAAAATACTATTGGAAATACCTCCGGCAGATCATCGAGAAAGATCTTCAAAGTCTACCCAGTTTACTCACAAACAACAATATTCTTCCCCAGAAAGAAGATTCGTGGACAAAAGTTTCAACCCATCAAATTTATAATAATCGCCGTCAAACAATCTCTTGATTCCAGTCCTCATATTTTAAATGATAATTGTGTATATATAGTTGCATGTGCCAAACTAATTCATTTAAAACAAATTCAGATATGTACTTCCAGTTTTGAAAAAGCACTGACCTTGGAGTGCAGTCATCGACTGTTCAAGAATTTAATCAAAATTTAAATCATTATTTGACAATGCTGCAGAGTCTTATTATAGTTTTTTTAAATGCATAGGAACGAAATTAATGCAGGTAAGTAAAAAAAAACAAATTTTATTAAAAATTCTTTGGTAAATATTTGGCTGCAAGAATGAAATATTTTAGAAAATTCATGTTTTCTCACCATTGCGCATCTAGAAGCTGCGTTATTTAAGAACTGGTTCGCTTCGCAAATTTTTATCCTAAACAAACGGACAAAACAAAGTAGAGCTTGCCTCAATCTATGTTAATGTATAAGTTTTACGAGTGTTTAATCAAAATTACCAAAACTTTCAGTTTTCCATTACAGAACTGACGCCCTTAAATATGTAAATGTTTTAGTTTTCCTTGTCTTTTATTCTCTTTTAAATTGTTTGCGTTAAAGCAATGTTTAATACTTTCGTACTGTGTACGAATAATCGAATCTAATCACTAGTTAATTTCAAAATACAACAGAATTAGAAAGTTCTTTAAAATGATGATGATCGAAAACGTTTCATTCACATTTTAGTTCTCTTTCTGGTCTGGTGCTGAGCTTAGGACTTTCAATGGCAAATAGGGTAACTACCATTTGTAAGTGAAATCCCAAACTATATTACTACGCTCTCAATAAATATTTTGTTACAGATTATGTGTCTTTTTATTTTGTACGAAATTATGCTCTATGCACAATATCAACGCCATGCTTGAAACATGAAATGGGCTGAGCACGAGGGGGAAAAACTCAATTCTGCTATTCGTAACTACACAACTACGAAAAGTGGGCATTTGGTCTTATATTGATAAGAGCTACAGGAGGTTTTTACCGTATTCGCAGGTTGTCTCTGTGCCCAAGTCTATTTTTCGTTAATTTAAAGAGGAGTTTTAATAAATTCAGGATGTTTCATTAAAAAAGGATACATATCATTGCCCCGATTTCAAGTCAGTTATGACAGTGCTGGATTTAGATGTTCGACAGTAACAAATGGCTTTGACACTGAACATAAAAACAGAACAAAATAGTCTTTATTAAAATTTTAACAACACGCATGAGGAACATAGAGTACTTTAAATGTTACATTAATATAAATCAATAAATAAATATGTAGATCAAAACAAAAAATATAGCATATTTAATGAACCACATGCTCATTTACACAATAATATGGCTATACAAGGTTTAGCACTTATTAACCAGAGAGTTACCTCAGTCTCAAGAGCCGTCACTAAATTCTTTGATCCATCTGTTCTTTTGGATATCCATCCATCCTTCTTAGAAGGAATTTTTCATCAAATGAAACACGTCATTCATACATTTGATACAATTTGCTGAATAACTTATTTTGTCGAGGGAAGAGGGCTGCAGGGGAGGTGGCACAGAAAAGCAAAGCATCAAACGGAGGTGAAGGTTCCAGTTGATAAAAACAAAATGAAAACAATACATTTTTCCAGAATTTTGTTTTGTAAGAACCTAAGGATTCTACCTCCATACCCCTATCACTCTGTGTGCCAATGGCTGTCAGCCAATGAAAATGGACTTTAGATTTTATTTCAAAATCCTGAAGCCTAGGTCCTTCATGAACCAATATATGTATTTACAAAGAAGTATTTTTCGTTGCTTTTGTACGTTGGTGGGACCTTTATCACATACAGTCTCCTATGGCTGTATCATTCAGTTTAATTCTGTCACAGGTTTCCCTTACATTTTTCAGGTAATCCGTAACCATTTGAAATTCGCGTATCAAACTACTGAACCACCTCAGTAATGCGCGCAGTAACGCAGATAATATGACTCGTGCCTGATTGGCATTCGTTTCATATAAGTAGTCTTAATTTCGATTGGTCATTTGCGAGATCGTCAATCCAAAATGTCTACCTCAATATTGCGAAGAGGATTCCAAAAACGAGGACAAATAGACTTGTCTTCAAGGAAACGGAACTGCTGGCCGGGGCGGGGTTCGGTGGGTCCTCCTTGGATGTCGTCAGAACTAGAGCTGATTTTGGCCGCATCAAAAAGCCGGAACTAGCCGTGGTCACGCTTTCGCTGAAAATGAAGAGATAAAATTCGAATTTGAGTTCTCATGGTTATTCTAAGGAGCCTTATCATGGGTACGGCTCTATTCACCTCTCGTAGTGGGTCTGGAATTTCAAATCTTTTTGAATTAACCTTCAAAAATATTATTTTGTGGCGTATTTTTTGAAATTTTTCCGTGTAATGAATCAATCATAAGTCAAAGCCTGTTAACTTAGTGATGTGGGAAGTAATTTGTATCACATGACTTCATATTTATCAAAATGAAATTAGTGAACAGAATAAAACAACTAAAGAGAAAACAAATAAAGAGAACAAACAAACAAACAAACAAACAAACAAATAAAGAGAACATACCCATTTTTAATCGCGGAGTTGACACTGGCTGTATGAACTCTCATCATGTCTGGTAAGGACTTAATTTGGTCGGAAAGTTTTATTGATTCATATTCACTTCCAAGATTTATGACCAGAACGTAAGAGTCCTCTCCGTCCATCATCCTAAAAGAAGCAAACAATCAGAATTTAATTTTTAAATTTAAAAGATATTAAAAAAAATTGAAATATAGAGGAAGGTTATTGGGAACGATAATTTGACAAATTAAGGAACAGCCTTCACCAAGAAGAAAAAAAAGCATATCTACTGGGAATTAAATTGCAACATGAAATGTGCTATTTTAATTGGTCACTTCGTCGTTATAATTTAAATTAATTCTTCGTAAATAAAGTCGAAACCGAGTGTTAAAGGCCGAAAGGTAAAGTATGCGCCTCCGTCTAGAGAATTTGGATAGGAACTGTTAGGCTGTTTTACAAATAAATGATTGATGAAAATTACCTTTCTCCCGATCACTTTCATCCGGTTCTCAGACGATAGCTATTTCGATGATATAAATCATCATCATCAGGTCTTCGACTTCGACTTCGGTAAACACGAACTCGACTCGTCTGAGAACCGGATAAAAGTGATCGGGAGAAAGGTAATTTTCATCAACATAATGCAGCCCGATAAAAATAAGTTCAACTTTAAATAAATGATTTTCAAATTTTTCATAATTTTCATATTGATTTTTCATATTTTTTTTATTTTTTTTTTTATTATTTCATTTTTTCATTTACCTTTCAATGGCTAAGACCCAGTTGGAGAGGACATAAGTCTTCCATGCCCCTCTCTGGAATGTCCTCGTCTTACGAAGAGCTGTGAGCCTTTTGTAAATGTGGTAGTGGCTGTAACTTTCCTCTTTTTGGTTCTTTAAATTCAAGTAGTAGGAATTAGGGTTGACAGGTAACCAGGTCCGGCTGTTAGAAGAAAATCCTGTGAAGGGGAAGAAATATTGATTCATATTGTACTGCATGAGAAAAAAAACGGAGAACAAGTTCTAGCCTGGTATACTTGATACCATTTTGTAAGAGTACATAAATCTCGATGGCTACAGAGTAAAATCGCGTATCTCCATCGCTATGTTTAAAAGCTCTTCTCCTGCTTTACTTTTTCGCGGAGAAACAAGTCGACTCAATTTCCTGGAAATTTCTGTGATTTTTCTTCTTTATATCAGCAGAATAATTGACTTGACTAGAAATTCGATAGTTGACTTGTTTCTCTCTGAAAAAATTACTAGGAAATTAATATTGCTTAGGAGCAGAGCTTTTAAAATACAGCAATGAAGATACGTGGTTTCGCACTTTAGCCATCAATCTGCATAGTTTCACAAACAAACAAGCAAAAGAGAGAAAAGTTGACTCATTTACCTTGCCGAGACTGAGCAAAAGTGGCAAGATTGCCACATGCAACTATCCGTGCTTTCAAGCCGCTCAAATTGCCATCGCTGTTATTGAAGGCGCACTCGACAGAGTGAGAGACACGCACATGAGAAAGATAACGTTACCGCTTTGGGCCGTGGTGATTGTTAAAAATAAAAAAGTGTGGATAGCTCGTAATGGTGATAGGACATTTCGTCAACGATTTTTTGTCCGCGCACCTGTTTTTTCTAGTAATTTACGTCCACGCGTTTTTCCGGCACGGGAGTTTTGGTCCCTGTGCCAGTTGAGACCCAAAGTTAATTGGCCCACATGTAAGTACAAATGACCATTGCTCACGACGTTTTTGGATGAAAATGTATAATGTCTTGGAAGAATGAGGGTTTGCTTGTTTTTTTTGTTTTGTCTGTTTGGTCCAACGGAGAATAATATATAGTTGAGAGTTTTGGTAAAAATAGGGGAACGTCAATTCCATGAGACAAAATTCTTTAAAACTCTCTACACCTCTTTGGTGCAACAGGACTTAATTATCTTTCAAGAAATTCCCACCTTGTTATACCTCAACCGGATGAACCTCTATATTTGCCTCAGCTAAAGGCTCTTAGATTTTTCCTGTGTACGATAAGTATCTTGATTTATTTTGCGAGGAAAGATCTGTACTCTTAAAGGATGCCTGTCATTCTTAATACGTTCAATTTCATATCTGTGCAACACCTCTATTGTGAAATAGTTGCCTCAGGCGCCGCCGCAGGGCCGCACGGCGGGCGTGCTGCCAGCGCGAGAGGCTCACTGGCGCCTACAAACCTAAGTGGATACTTCAAGCATTGTGCAATGCGTGAAGTATACACTTAGGTTTGTAGGCGCCAGTGAGCCTCTCGTGCTGGCAGCACGCCGCGCCGCTCCGCTCTGTTAGGCTTTAATATTTATACTCGCATATTCAGCGTTTTTTAACTCATGATTTTGAAATGTTTGAATGTGTTGCATTGATTATTCTCATTTAAATTGATGGGAAAAAATATGTATCAATTTATCAAAGGAGAATAATAACACAGCACAACAAATTTCGGGTTTTGCTTTGTCCTTCGAACCTAACCAAGCAAATTTTTAACAGAATATGCATTAATGATAGGATTCCTTGAAATCGTTAATACCTCGATTTTTCAAAAACTGCACTGCGCCTTGCCATCCAAGCCCCTGATATATAATTAATCGTAATTCGTGTAACGAGTTATAATTACATTACCTGCACTAACTGAATCGTCCCACTGAAATGGGGTCCTGCATCCATCACGGGAGTACTTCTCGTATTCTTTCGGTCCGACATTTATCCCCGCAGGATCAATGGTTTGATCCCATCGAATGTAACCATTTGACATGCCTGCAAGAAAACGGTTATGTTTATAATTATTATTTTTTTAAAAATATAGCGATGGCCAAAGTGCGAAATCACGTAATTACAAAGCGGTGCAGCAGAATGACCGCTGCTATTTGTTGTCCTGTAAAGGTGGCTTTTAGGAAGACATTTTCTACAAAATATTCTGCAAACGGAGAAAATGATCAAGGAAATTTTCAAGAAATTACGATGAATAGTTTCCCAAAGGAATACTAAAGTATGGAAGAAGTCTGGAACGTCGCAAAAGGAGATACGTGGCTTCGCACTTTGGCAATTGATATATCTAAAGGATCTTTACCTGAATGGTTTTAAGTAGAGGCAGCCTAACAGCTTGCGTTACCCAATTTTCTTTCATGTGTTCTATATCCTCAACATCAAACTAAATAATAACATTTCACCATGAGGTCATAGAAAGCTCTTTTGGAAGCTCTGAGTTATGGAGAATTTGCAGGAGGAAACGTTATCGCCTCCACGTGGAAGTACTTGATACTGTTTGCACAATATTTCTTACAATTTTTTTCTTTGTCTTTCATGTGGATAATTAAAGGACAGCAGATGTAAAAGTGAGATCTGCATTGTGGCTTTGTTAGCGTAAGGCGTTTTTCATTTAAACACATCGTCACCTTCCAGCCATTGTATCACAAGCGCCATGCGACGTTTAAAAATTTCCGCCGCCATTATATTTTTTTACAGAGAAAATGTTCAACGAAACTGTTCGAAAATGTCTCTGTAAAAAATAAAATGGCGGCAGAAATTTTAAAACGTCGCATGGCGCTTGTGATACTTTGTTCGGAAGGTGACGACATGTCGACGGTGCAACTAACAGACCAAGTATCTCGGTTTGCGACTTTGTAGACTTCCTGTCACACTTTTTTTCAGATGGGAACCTACTTAACATCAATTCTGGAAAACTTCAATTTGTTTCCTCTCTATGCATAGAAAACTCTGTGAAAGTTTAAAGAAATTCTATAGATTTGTTCTCCGTCAAAAAAGTAAAATGGGAGTAGCGGAGATTTACCAATACTGCGATCGAGATACGTGGTCTGGTAGTCTCATCGTCGATGTATTATCTGATAATAGATACTTATTGATAGCAAAAAAGCAAAGATAGCAATCGATCAAACTTGATTCACAAAATTCGACGGTAGGTCAAGTTAAAAAGTAATATTTTTCATTGGGTACATTGTGCCTTGTTTGCTAAGAAGATGACTCATCAAGACTTATAACGTATAATCAGATCTGAAGCTCGGTTTGACAACCAACAGTAACTTTTAGAATGACAGGACCTGATGTTTTAAGGTATTTGGGAAATTTTGACTCATCGTATTAACTACAAACTCAGTGCATCCTTACCAATTTCTTCGCCGTTATAGGTAATGGCCGTTCCTGGAAGTAGCATCACAAGCATATTAATAGCATCCACTAATTCAGGTCCGTATCGTGTCGCAATCCGAGGTTGATCATGGTTTCCCATCTGAAAAAATAATAAATCATTAAATAGAGAAAAAAGTTAAATCTTTGAATTTTACAGATCAAAGTCATAATATTGGACTTACAAAACTAAACATCATATCTACTCAGTTACGTATGCACATAAAATGTGGATGATTGACTAAGACCCGAGTTCGTTCAAACTTCAAACTACAGAAATGGTTTCAGTTTCAGTTCAAGTTATATTTGACGATGTTATCATCTTCTTATTTGCGTAAAATTTACTATGAATGCGATAAGCGATTGAATCAGAAAGATGTCATTAATGAGGAATTTAAAATTAAACGTCGTCGATTTCGAGTCAATACATCCTTCATCAACAGCCACCGCTGATCATCTTCATTTTCCGCGGAGAAAATCTCAATCTGACAGTCTAGACTCAGGAGAACGTATTGAAGTAGACCGTCCGCAGCATTAAACTCCTTCAAAATCCTTGACAGCAACATGTGCGACACCGCGGAAACTGGTAGTGCAACACGAACGTGAGTCAGCTTCTGGTATTTATTCATATACAAATTCATAACTTCGATGAGGTACATATGTGTTTTGCGCAATCAACATGTAAAATCATGAATGATCAATTTATTTTTTAATATTCTTCGTTCAATTGTTAGGACACTCAATGTTTTTGAGTGCAAACAATGTATTTATAGGTAAATCTGAGTTTTCCACTTTTGCGGCCGTAAAAAAATGGATCGCGTTTAGGAAAAAGGAAACAGCGCGTATACGGTGTTGTGACATTGTTGCTTCTGCATAAATATCTAAAAAATCTCCCAGAGTAGCAAACAATTTTCGCTTCAGACCAAAAAGTTTTGAATTTTAAAGAAATAACACGGTACAGACATTAAATATTTTCGAGAGAAAATGAGAAGTTGCACGATTTTGGAAACACTGTAATCGTGCTGGTCTCTTTTTGCTGAATTCGATCCAGTTTGTATTCGTGATGAATGCTTTCATGGAAGAGCTATAAACAGGGATCATGAGTACGCACCACCCAGTTGGCCCAGTGATCATCAGGCATATTGTCCATCCAGTTGTGAATGGCGGCATTGAAATCGTTGGCACTCGAATCTTTATGACATTCGTTGATCATCAAGAAGTTGAACGGCATGTGGCTTCCGGGATTTTTAGCGTCTCCGTAGTATTTCATTGTATAGTTCAAAGATGTGTAGGCCTCGCTCAAAATAACCCTAGAATCATTGTAATCAATACGTTACATTCAAATGATGACTAATCACTAATCAATACGTTACATTCAAATGATGATTAATCACCATGCATCATACAATAAGAGGCTCTATGATTGCCCGAATTTTAGTTTTTAGTTACAATTAAAAGATGTGTCACAAACCCATACGGGCGAATTAAAAAGCATAAAATTACAACTTATGTTTAATCGCAAGACTTAGTTTATTTTACATTGGCACAATAATTTATCCTGAGTTAATAAGAAATCAAGCAACTGCTACGTTCAACGAATGCTTATCCGAGAAAAAATCGCCTTCAATTTGAGGTTCCGCAACAAGTAATACCTATACCCAGCTCGAGTTCCGGCATAGTTCGCTACTTACTTTGGAGGTGTGTTATGTTCCTTGGCGAAATCGTCTAGAACTTTTCTGAACTGGCCGATCATTTCGTAAGTCTTCGGTCGATCCATGGAGTAAATGTGAATGAGAGAGTCGTACATTTTGGAGTTTTTAATATTCTCGTCGACGTACGGCTCATTACGGAACAAAGAATCCTCAAATAAGTAAGGCACTGCATCCATACGAAAACCATCCACGCCATGACTGAGCCAAAATCTGAGAACTTCCTTTAGAAAAATGGGAGAAAAACTGTATTGTAATAATTTGAAATATAATGAGGAATAAATGAAATGTATTACAAACTTATTTTTGAGTTTTGCCAACCCTCTGATTCGCAAAAATGCTTATGTGTCCTGTTTTTTTTTGTTGTTATTGACCACATTCGCACGAAAATTTGAAACGTAAATTTTTCGCTCGGAAAAATCCAATTGAGACTTTCTTATTACAAACATACGTAATCATGTACAACTCAAATTGTTTTATAAATATTGAACAGGACTTACTTTTTATCATTTAATTCATTTGATCTTGTTATATTTAAAGAGGAATTAAATCTCTGATTTAAAAAAGATAATCAGCAGAGATGATAATATAGATTTTTAGGTCACCTCGTCACTGCGAGATACAGAGTAGACTATTTACCTTCATTTCCTCCACGAGCTCCTTACTATTGTAGTTCAAATCAGGTTGCTGAACTGCAAATTGATGCAGGTAGTATTGTCCTCTCTCTTCGTTCCATTCCCATGCAGAGCCACTGTTGAAAATACTCAACTATTGGACGCGAAAAAAGAAAATATTAAAAATACTTCTTCGATAGTTGTTGGGAGGCTCTAAAAATATTTTATTCATAAGCAGGGAATGAAGTCTCAAGGCTCCCCTCATGTTGTTTGGAATGCATATATTTTTATTTGAAGTCCCTTTTTTATTTTTTTAAGGTTCTCATTATACTGGATTTATTAATTAGTCTAATTAATATTATTAGCATTTCATTCAGTGAGCACAAGAGACAAATTTTTCCGGTGTATTTACGCACAGTGGATCGAGTCAATTAAAAAGGTTGGACATGGCATTTTTGACTAAAACTGCAAATTTCGATGTTTACTTCGTCACATTTTAAATTTTAAGGAGTGCCTCTGGAAGAAAATTTCACGATGAAACCAATTAAACCACATTTAGAACCTCAAAGTTTCGTGTACACAGTTTTGAGCTTTTAAAGTTTCCAAATTTTGTCCGACCTCTCCCACTGACTCGATCCCGGCTATCGGAGAGATCAAATAAAATCTACATAGGGAAACTACAATTCTCACATGCGCCAAAAGACTTAATTTTTGACCATATTCGAATGATGAAACACTCTTTTCCAAAATATCTTCTGTAGGATTTGCATGCTGTGATTTGTTCAAGACTGGCAGCCCACAGACTTTCAGGACGTGACTGATGACTAACCGCAAGCCGATAAAACATGAAAAAAAAAAAATGCTTGACATTCCTTTTTTTAAAATTTTCGTTAAGATCATGACCATGTTCCCTGACATCTTTATACTTTCGACTCTGTGAGTGTCACTAATTTTGTTGTTTTGTATTTACATCCAACGCTCCGGCCCATTGTGTGTGACAGACCAACATATGATTAAAAATGTATAATATGTACTTGACATACCCAGTTGTTTGGAGGGCTCTTCTTGCCATTAGCGTCAATCACTGGATCCCTCCATACGTAGTAGTTAGTGTACGGGTCAATTTTCTTTACAGACTTGAGGAACCAAGGGTGTTCATTGCTTGAATGATTGGGCACAAAATCCAAAATCAGCTTGACTCCTATTAAAATGTAAAGAAAAGTTTCACATTTCAGGATGCTTTTACGATCAACCCTCATCGTCAGTTTGACCTGATATTATGTACCTATATCATACTATTTTCGTCAAAAAGAATATTACTTTTGGTGCACTTTCAGAAATTTCACATTCAATCTATTTAAGTTTCGTCTCTACGATTAGTCTGTTATATCTGTCACATTTGAGGGACTTGGAGGACAAGGCGCGTAAGTGCAGTTTGTGGTATTTTGAAAAATACGTGTTTGAAGTTTCGAATTTACACGGATCCTCAGGGCGGAAAGAAAGTTCAAACTGATTTTATGATGCCTAAAAATTGGAATTTAAAAGCGAATTTCTCACGAAATATGAATTAAGACTAGTTTTATTCGGTATCATTAATATCTCAATTTTTCAAAAACTGCACCTATGCGCCTTGTCCTCCAAGCACCTCATATTATGCTCAGTGAAAGGAAAGTTCGGTCAATCCATCATGTGAATCAAAATACAGTGTCCTATTTGGGATGCATTCGGTTCATGTAACCGTATTCGCAAGTTCATCCAATGGAGCTCTTTTTGCAGTTCGTTTCATTGATCGATCTACTTTGGTTTGGTATGAAAGTTCGACTGAATGAAAAAAGTAGTTTCAAGAACCGAGGAAGACGATTACATGAACCGAATAGTGCAGTTAATGTAGAGCACCGTACTCCAGTTCAAAGAAGCTAAATTTTCTTTCTCAGTGTTTTGAAAATAGAGCAGCTAAGGGTCCTGTTTGAGGAATTATTTTCCAAGTAGCAGTCAACAAAATTGTCATTGCACTTTTGTAAGTGATGCACCTTTTTTTGCAGTTACATAGCCTAATATCGTGATCAACTTGCGACATTATTATTGGATTACATTATGCAAGTAGGAACTACAATCTCTGGCTTATCCGTAGGGACTTCTACGCCCATAGGAAAACTAATGGTGCATACGTTGTTTCTAAACTGAGCCAGAAATTTAGTTCCTAATTGCAAAATTTAGTCCATTCCAAACTCTTCGATCGTTTTAAAGAGCGATACCCGGCAAGTTTTGATCACTAATGGAATGAATCGTGGTGATAAGGACACTTACCACGGGCATGCAATTTTTCTCTGAGGTGAACCAAGTCATCCAGGTTGCCAAAAATTTCGTTTATCTCGGTATAGTTTGAGATGTCGTACCCAAAATCGGCCATTGGAGAGGAATAAATCGGAGACAACCATACTGCTCCCACGCCAATGTCTACAAAGTGATCGGCCTTGGATGCGATCCCTGAAACACGAAATTATTACTTATTCAGACTATTTAAGCACCTTCAGAAGTGAATAAACACTCCCTTGTTTTTTATGTGCATCATTGGAAATTTTTTATGCGTCTTTCCATTAATGAGGCAAAATATTCAAACCACAGCCATGCCCCCCCCCCCCCCCCCCCCAAAAAAAAAATAAAATAAAAACGTAGATTTTTTGCGGAGATCTCTTCTTTCAGAAAATTTCTATCCTTAATAAGGATCACGCAAAAATATCGAAAATTGGATGTGCTCCTTAAAACAAATACCACCTTTTTGAACATTCCATGCAAACTCCCAACAAGACCAAAATTAAATTTACGCATAGATTCAGTTCGAATAAAAAGGTAGTTTTTTCCTGTCTTGGCAAATTAAAGTTTTTGGACCTCAGGGCCGGATTTAGGGGGTGGCGGTGGCCACATGGGCCGCGGCCCATGGCGGCAAATTTCGCAATTTTTTTGAATGTGGCTATAAAGAAAAATCGGATTCAGAAAAAAAATTACAAACGAGAAAAGGTGACAAAATCTCTCATTCTCTGAGAGTATATATGTCTAAGTTTGCCGCCTTTATGTGATACAATAGACAGCACCTTTAATTAGTTAAGACTAAGAGAGAAACCGAACACGGAATTTGGCCTAGAACGGCGCGACGCAGAGAGCAATGATGACGAGAACTTGAGATGAAAAGGAGAAACCCTCGGAACGGCGCGGCGGTCGACATGTAACACATATTAGCGCCTACAAGACTGCATCAATACTTCACGCTTTCCGTCAAAGACAGTACGCCGTGCGGTCACTGCGGTCAGCAGCGGGCAGCGTGAAACGCATAGCGCCTACAAGACTGCATGAATACTTCACGCATTGCGTCAAACACAGAGCGTGCAGCGGCGGTCGGCATGAACATGAAACGCATAGCGCATACAAGACTGTAGGGATACTTCACGCATTGCTTCAAACACAGTGCGGTCAGCGCGGCGCGGCGGAGGAAGTTAAAATTATTAAACCACATTTATGTTTGTTCTTTCATTATATTTTCGTTCATTTCATGTAAATAGAAGGCCTTGTCCACACAGAGACACAACTCCGCCAACTAATTGCCTTACTGAACTTAACTTCCGCGCCAAGCTCCTTGAACTTTTGCTAGTATAGTGTTGACAGGGCTTTCGCAAAAAATGTGTCCAACACAAGTGAACGCTTCTTATGCACCCCTCCCCCTCCAGCCCGTTCACTTGATGATTTTTATCGATGTTTCAAAACGAATGAGTTGGGGGCGGCAAAATACAGGCGGCCCATGGGCGGTAAGTAAGTAAATCCGGCCCTGTTGGACCTATCAGACCTAACTATCAACTAAGTCTCATGGAACTAGTGGCATTATACCTCAAGGTGTGAGTTGCATTAAGACACCGCACAATGTGGAAACTTCTAATGGAGTAAATGCATACAAGATGATTGAAGTATTGTGATCAGTTTATTTGTATTATATTTATTGATATTGTATTTTTTTATAGAAAATCTTGTGAACTATAGCCTTTCTTGGCACAACCACATAAAAAATTTTAATTTTAGTTTTCATACTGCTTCTTCTTTCGAGTAGGGGCTCTATCGCCCCTCATCCAATCTGTAGTTTCTCAATAAATGTTGTCATTTGCAAGAATAAAACAAAAAACAAAACAAAAAATGGAACCATTATCGTACAATTAAGTATCTAAACGTTGTGTATATTAGTATTCTTCACGGATTATTTGAACCAACAAATATTACAGGTGTTCTGTTCACGTTTAAGTATGCAATTTGTATTTTTACGCAGGCACAGACGTGTGTTATCACCACTTCTACCAACAGTTTCGCTTGAGTTATAGCTCAGTTGCCGTATCAAACTTAGTTGCATCTAGTTATGCTCGCTCCTTCACGGTGGCATTGCATTGTTCAATGTATAGGAGGAAACGGACTGTTACGCGAAGACAAAACGAAATTGTAGGAGTTGTGAGATGGCAGTGTTAATAATAGCTTTGCCAAACTGTGCAATGTTATTCAAGAATGTACGAATGGACTCAATAACTGTGCTTGAGCGGAAAAAAACAAAAAACATGCAAGCCTTGGTGGATCAACGAATCTCACCTTTTAGTTATGAAATCAACGGAAATAAATAGGTAATATTAATTATTCACGAGACGCAAGATTTAAATGATTTTCACAATTTTTTTACTATATGTCTCTAAACTAATTTATCGACATTTTCGGCATCATTTGTTTATTTCTAAGCGTTTCTTTCTCATCTAGATTGGCATGAAAATGTCTAGTCGTGGAAGAATTGCATAATTGTTTTGTATACAAAAATTGGCAGAAAATATGTTACAAGAGAAGATTGTCGTATTTTTACTCCCATTATTATCATGTATTTTACACTAAAATTTATTAAAGAAGTTTAATTTTTTTAATGAAAATGATTCATCTCAATCATCATCATCCCTGCTCAAGTGTTTCAATTATTTGTTGCCATCAGCTGACATTGAATTTTTAACCCGCATAACAAGATATAATTCCCCCACTTAGGGATAAACAGTGTGTGGTACTTCATGTCATATTTTGTTTCCCCGACAAAATGTGTTGGTTCCTTCATGGTAGCAATTATCAAATGCAATTGTGCGCTTTTTTCGGATTTAGTTGGATAATACCGATGGGTCACTCACTCTCAACACTTCATTCACGACCGAATTTGCCGATCTGACAAGCTTTGTTCATGAACTTGACACAATGCGCATGAAAATGACCGTGAAATTTCGCTCTCCCCGTGTACGCGAAACTTCGAAAAGAAACAAAATGGTGATTACCTTCTTTTCGGATGTTAATGAGCCCTGTCGAGATTTCAGTGCTCCGCGGTTGGTAAACGCCGTCTTCAAAATATCCTCGGTAGTCACTAGACATTTTTTAAGCGGTCTATTTTTCATGATGAGCTTTTTCAGTCATTTTTATTTTTGCATATTTAAAAACATAGATTGCATTCTGGTGACATAAATCTCTCCCGATTTTTATGAGTCTCAATTTTTCATCCTTTGTTAACAACAGATGAAAAACGTGTTCGAGGTTTCGTATTTTTTTTTCACTTTTCTACGCGTGACTCTTCTGCCACGATTCATGAACCCTCTAGTTGCGCATTGATAACGGCTGCATGGATCTCAAATTACAACAGAGAGATCGCGCGGGCAAACGGAACACGCACGTATTGGGAGGGATATTTATGGACGCCATCTTGGCTTACTCCGTAAAGCGTGTTCCAATGAAGATTACAACTTCGCAACTTTGAACTCTCCTTCTATGAGTTACTAATACGGGNGGGGGGGGGGGGGGGTGTATACGAAAACACTCCGTGAACAAAGGTGCAAACCCAATATAGCAAGAATTGAAAATTACTAAATGAGTTAATTAATAACATAATTGAATACAAGCCCACTGGGGATGAAAATGCCAACAGGTGGTCGTACATGAGTAATTGCGCATTGAATTTTTTATTATTCATAATAATTTTGGTAGCTTCCTAGTTCGCAGACTGGGATTTGGTAAATCTACTTCATACGATAAAAAGAGGAAAAAAACACAAATACTGCGTCAGAAACTGTACAAAAAGTTCCATCCGTGTCCCTGAAATCACTATATCAACTCTTTATAGCAGAGATTCTTATAAACATGATCAAATAGACGTAAAATATCCTGGAGAAAACATGCTTCTTATCTATGAAGCGTCAAATCTACCTGTTCCTAAATTGAAGAAATCTGGTGGACGTGAAGTCAAGTCAAAATATTTTTGAGAGTTTTGCTTGGCCTATGTTCATATTCGTAATAATTTTAACTAGAAATTACTCATGCATAGCTGCACTCATCTTACTCGGGAATATTATCCACATTTCAAATTGACCTTGATCTTGAGACGGAGAAGCAAGTGCTAATTTTTGCGTCTATTCTTTAGTCTGTCCACGTATTTTCATCCAGTCGCATTAAATAATATCCTGGTTTCTCTATGATTCTCAATTGACTCACGCACAGAACCATTACCGATTCGATTCGCTGGCATTGGCTTCCATTTCCGATTAGTCAAATTTATTCTATGAGGTTGCTCTTCCTCTCACATTTTATGCTAATTTTTCAGTCAATTTTCTGTATAATGGATCAATCGCGCTGGTCACAGAATTGTATTTTGATGATTGGTTTTTAAAGAGCAGCTAAAAATAATAAGATCCGTCCAAACAGCAACTCTCTATGTTCAATACTAACTGAGATATCGCGCTTTGAAAAATTCGGTTTATGACGTCATCCACGGCAGTAGCGACACCCTTGGTTTCTTCCACCTTGCTTTAATTTGATTTTCAATTTGAGTAACCAGTGCAAATGTGTGTATCACCGATTAATGAATTCAGGGTGAGAGATCATTATATGCATAACCGCTGTGGATGACGTCATAAACCGAATTTTTCAAAGCTCGATACCGGTTAATATTGAAAGTAGAAACCTGCTGTTTGGACGGATCTTATTATTTTTAGCTTATCTGCAAATCACAATATTATGAACAGCGCAACTGAGCTATGCATTGTGTTTTGTGTTGATAACAAGTTGTTCCATAAGTCAAGGAAATGTATATATACACAGTGAGAGTTGAAGTGGAATTAGGTGCGCCTGATTACAATGAAATTATACTCCAAAATGTAGAATACACAAAGGTAACTTTACATGAATATCTACACGTACCAAGAATACCTATCTCGCTGCTTATTTTAAACTTTCTGGAACCCTTACGAAAGTTTTTTTGTGTAAAAAATAGATTAAAAAATAAGTTTTTCCCTCTCTCTCCGTTAAGTTTCAATGTCAACAATCATGCTCTTGATTAAAAACTTGATCGTTAAAATAAGGGCACCTATAACTTAAAATGAGGATAAAATTGACTAAAAACTTAATTTCACGGTATCATTGGTATAAAGGCGACAAATACTTCTCATTTTTCTATAATAGCGACACTAATTCCATTCCATCATGTCCACCGCGTGCGGTTGCGGCATACAATCGCATCAGATTTGCGGCTCTTCAACAAAACAATAGGACTATCTACATCTCGTACCAACTTCAGGTTTCTGAAGATAACTGCCATGTATTATACAGATTTTTTCATGTTCTTCACCGCTCTTGAATGCAATAAGTCTATAACCACTCTATTATAAAATGATAGGCACTTGACGATCGAGCTAGAGGTCTGAGTCGCAAAATCACCGATAATCTTTGTGTTGTAAGGCGGACCCTTGAACTTAATCCGAAATTGGATATGCGAAATCGTTGTTTGCCGCAGGATTCAGGGGGATTCTTAACACTCTTAATAAGTAATAGAATAATAACGCTGTGGCTTAAAAGGATGAAACTTCTTCTGAACGAGTTGATTGCGCAGGTCATAAAATTATGGAATTGACGGCTTTATGGAATTATTTAGTCACTTGAGAAAATGGCCAGAAGGGGTGCATTTGCAATAATAGTTGAAAGTACTCTTGTTCCTTTCTTTCCATTTCTCTTTTCTTCTTCTTTTGTTTTCATATTTTATCACGCACCTGACTTATCAAAAACACATTGAGCTTAGTTTCTGAGCGCTACATGATTCTACACAAAATTATTTCTTCGGTATTCACTAAGAAGGGGTAAACATTATGATACGCACAAGTATGAAAGTATAATAAGTGTATAAGGTATTGACTATTAAATGTTGCTGAAGTAAGTTTCGAACCTCGTGAAATAAAGTATAAACTGCAGAAATTAACAAAAGTTCCCTTATTTTAACTATGATTACAGTACTGATTTGTTTTTCCTTTTTGCTCTCCGACGATGGACATAATGAAATATACTCATCCTTGTACTATTTATGAATCAAATTGCAACCACAGAGAAAAAAATTGCGGTGTTTGCATCTTGGGCATCCCGGGCATCTCGGGTGTTTTTTGATGACGCAGGTCGGTACGGATAGTTTTTATCATCCATTTTCTTGGAAATGGTGCAGTTTATGAAAAAAAGTCATTATATATAAAGAATTAGAAATTATATCATGAGTTGGTTATAAAGCAAAAAAATCGGACGTTATGGTCCATTTTTCATACTTCAAATTCCGGATTTTGCCAGAGTACGTGTACCGACCTACGTCACGTCAAATAATCCTCAAGATGCAAACACCTTCTTTTCTCTCTCTATGAATTGTAACTAGGCAATGATTCAAGAGAACGGATACCTGTGTGATAGTGTAAGAAAACTATTCTATATCGATCAGCAAAGTATTGATTATTTTTGCATAGGTCAATAAAGAATGATTGCTCCAGGGCGGTCATAATATTAAATTCCGTTTGTACCAGAGCCAAAGTAAAGTCAGAAGCTTGTTTAGCGGTCAAGGATTTTTTTACAGCGCCTCGACATAGTCGAAAATAATGTATGTTTTCTCATTTGTCTGAGTGAAATCGCGTTATTTTTTAAGCCACGTTTGGCAGCGCTGCTGAGCGTTCGGAAACGGAAAGAAGCAATTAAAGTATGCATTTTGCAAACGTCTTAAACCGAAGTTGGCTCAGAATAGTAAATAGCCCGGCCATGACCGCTATGCTGAGCAAAAACAGCGCAGCTACTGTAAGTTTAGATTGGAATTATGCGGTTTCTGCTTAACGGAGGAGATGATCAACACTGGTTAGGGAGCTGGTGACAGAGTTCACAGAGGAGCCGATTCTGATTCTGCTAGCCTAGAATCCAGCAATCAGTCATGCGATGAATTCAATCACTGATTTCCTTATGAGTTTTTATCCAGCATTGGGATTCTTGAATGGTATCCTCTAATAAGTGCGATGCAAATCAACGGATGATAATGAAAGCATTGAAACTAATGGTGCAGCGGTGACTTAGCTATGCTGCCGTGCTAAGGAAAAACGCCGTATACACCATCAGGCGTTGCCAAATTTCCTTTGATAAAACACGAATTTCCTGGTAAACATATAAATATTTTCCTCCCAATTTTTCAGGTAATTTTGTTCGCAATTTCACCTGAAGACTCTGAAAATTTAGAGGAAAAATATTCATAACTTTTCTCAGGAATAAACATGTCATCGAAGGAAATTTGACAACTCTCGAATGTTCATACGGTGTTCTTCCTTAGCACGGCGGTAGGGCTACTTAGTGCGCACTTATAACGCATATGAATTGTTTCTTTATGCGGCAATTTTGAAGGAAATAAAATCCTTCAGTTTAATTTTTTTTTTTAAAGAAACATGAAAAAAACTAAAAATGCGGTCCGAGCCGTATGTAACAAGGTGGTAAAAGATCCGCAAAGAGGGATGTTTTTTTAATATCCTCGCTGCCCAATTATCAAAAATGCATCAAAATTGAGATTGATTATGCGTCAAAACATATAAAAACATAGCTCTCTTACTTCAAAAATGATAGGCTTGAACAAGACCAAGGATGAACTTTCTCAGGGGACGGAAGGGAGGGGGAGGGGGCGATTACCTTTTTCCAGCCAAATAACCCGCAAAAGGAGCCCTTTTTTGCAACATTTGAAGGCCCTTTTCGGACATTTTTAAAAAAATTTCTGCGCTTCTCATACCTTTTTTCCCTATTCATCAGGATGATGCCCTAATCCCCCTTTCGGAGGGGGGGGGGGTGCGCTCGCCCCTAGGCAAATTTTGAGGTCTTCTCTTTCTGGAGAGGGCACGGATATTGAAGACTCCAGTAGAGGACATCAACGCATGTGCGTATTGTAAGTGAACACTCTGAATGATTTTCTCCTGCAAACGGCATAAAGGGCTTTATTTCCGTAAAAACTTAAAATTGCCTACCGATTTAAATGCTTAGGGGAACGTCCGACGCCTCAAAAATTAATGTCGTGTAAAGCCGGAATTCTTCCGGTGTGTAGTTTGCATTTTCTTTAATGTGATTCTATGAGAAAAAATTACGTTTATTTTCAAGCTATTATATGCTTGGAACTAAAAGTTACACTCTTCGTATTGTGCGAAGATGAACTAAATGGTCCACAATTACGGTTATTAATTGGTTCTCTGTCACACCACAAATAAATGTAAAGAAAAAAGAAAAGAAAAAACTTATTTCTAATATTATATCTGTTGAGGACAAATAGTCAAATCAGGTATTCTATCAAATGCCTAGTCATCAGATAGTCAAATTTTGACTTTACAAAATTTTGTAAATTCATAGCGCAGAGATCTGGAGTTTTCAATATTTTGGAGAAAATAACTCATCAAATCTCCGAATTCCTCTTGTTCCTTCCTCTTTAAATGCCTCACATATATTTAAGTGTTAAAATTTTGAAGACTTCTGTATTTTATTTAAATGCTGAAATTGTCAAAGTAATGGGCTAAAATCGTTTAAAATACTATTGTATGATGCATATTCTTGAAGAGAATTCTTCCTCACGGGAGCAATGCGTCATTTTGTCAAACAGAAGGAAAATAATCAGAATTCTAATCTAAGTATGTGCGTGTGACTATTTGCCTAGGCATTTGATAGAAAGCTTGATTTTGCTAGTTGCCTGCGACGTACCTTCATGGCAAGGTAAGACTTTTTCCCGAGAGGAAAAAGTGTTTGATTAAATAATTTACCCCAATTCTGAACTTACCTTGTAAATCTCCTTTTCCATCCCCGTTCGCGTCTTTGAAAGACATGGGGTAGATTTGATAGAAAACACTTGTCTGCCACCATTCAAGTTTCTCGTCAGACTTCCGTTCCGATCCTGTACCCAATTTCGATTGTTTTGGGTGAGTTGCCATTGATTGCTCAAATAAGGCCGTATCATCACAGTCCTCCGTCTTAGAATTATCTGCTCCTGCTACTGCGCATGTTACCGTCGCGAAATAGGTTGTAACAATAGCAACAGCGAAAAGATTCACAAATAAAACGGTCATTTTGAGACTTAAAGACTATGTCAAAAATACATGAGCCCTGTTAGGGTGAAATTGTCAGGCAAGTCTTAAACTATGAAAAAAATATGAGAGGGTGAATTAGTAGTGAATAGAACTGAGAAAATTTTCCGCGAACTTTTCTTCGCGGTGAGATACTGGTCGCGAATACTGACCAACACTTCCCACTTGTATTATTTATACTGAGCATTCGCCACTCTAGATGTTCGCATTTTTTGCGCGACCTCCAGATAGTCCCTCCTTCTTCTCTCTCGATGATGCGCTATTCGCAGTGTTCTATCTCTCTCCTCCTCCTTATTATACTTCTCCTCTCTCTGTTTTCAAGTGCTTGAACCTTAATCCAAAATTTGCACTCTTCGCTCAAGTTCAGATTATCTTTAACGTTATTACTTTGCATTCGAACTGCCTTATGTTTTTTGGATACATAACACGTAATGACTCGGGTATGACGTCTTTTTTTTTTTTTTTTTTTTTTTTTTTTTTTTTTTTTTTTTTTAAAATTTTTTTTTTTTTTTTTTTTTTTTTTTTTTTTTTTTTTTTTTTTTTTAAAAAAAGTTTTACGTTAGATTTTCCGCTGCACGTAACTTAAATTGTTCGAAAAAGCACTTGGTGGTATGTTCGAGGATATTTCAGCAGATTTCTCGTGTCAGTGAAAAATGTATTTACTATGTGATCATCGAGAAAAAATACTTTACTTCAAAATAATAAATACGGGATTTTCTTTGAATTTTTGCATTGAAAAATACCTGACATACTGTTCCAAATATTAGCCCAATTATTTTAGCTGAGAAGGAAAAGAAAAGAGAAGGAAAGTTTGAACTTATTTCAATTCAGTAAACACGCGTCAAAGGTGTTTACAAATGAATAATAAGTCGAAAAAATTTTGTTAGAAGTTTTAACATCAATAGATGCAAAGGGAGCAAATGTTCCTTTTTGGAAAATTTAAGGTGGTCCTTGGCTAAATTATTATGAAGCTCATCTGGGCTGAAATATTCAACTACAGGAGACTTGGACTAGGTGTTAACAGCTTCCTGGACGAATGTTACATGCGTACTGAGCGCTCCATTAGTGGCCCTCCAAAATATAATCAATCGACCAGATTAATTTTGGAGGTTCTCTCTCCGTCGGCCTACTCATCAAACTTCATTTTTCTCATTGATTCACAGTTGCAGGGCCGGATTTACCTACTTGCCGCCCATTGACCGCTAGTTTTTTGCCGCCCCCTTCTCATTCGTTTTGAAACATCAATGAAAACCATCAAATCAACGTGCCAGCGGGGGAGGGGTGCAAAAGACACGTTTACTGGTGTTGAACACATTTTTGGGGAAAGCCCTGTCAACACTACTAGCAAAAGTTCACGGAACTTTGCGCTAAAATTAAGTTTCGTAAACCTATCTCTGTGTGGACAAGGCCTTCTATTCATAAGAAATGAACGAAAAAATTATGCAATACAAGCATAAATGTGGATTAATGATTTTAACTTCCGCCGCCGCGCCTCGCAGACCGCACTGTGTGTGACGCAATGCGTGAAGTATTCTCGCAGTCTTGTAGGCGCTATGCATCTCACGCTGACCGCACTGTGTTAGGCGCAATGCGTGAAGTATTCATGCATTCTTGTAGGCGCTACTCATGTCACGCTATCCGCAATGACCGCACTGCCTTTGATGCAATGCGTGAAGTATTCATGCAGTCTTGTAGGCGCTAATGTGTGTTATATGCCAACCGCCGCACCGAGGGCTACTCCTTTTCATCTCAAGTCCTCGTCATCATTTCTCTCTAGGCAAGTCGCGCCGTTCCAGTTCAAATTGCGTGTTTGCTTTCTCTCTTAACTCGACAAATTAAACGCTCCCCTCCTAACACCCCCCTCCCCGATCAATAAAAAATGTAGATGATTAACCTCAATGCAAAATTGCAACCATATTTCTGCAAAAAAATGGAACTTTTTCGTCAATTTTGCAACCTTGGAGTTACGTTTCCTTTGTTTGAAAAGCGACAATTTAAGTGATAAACCTCTATGAATTGAAGCAAGCTCTTTGATCCGGTTTACACTTGAAATTAATTTAAATACATTTCAAAGTTCATGGCACGCTCAAGGTCGTTGTTTCTTTCCACCGAGAAGTTTGTTTTCAACTTTGTTCAATCTTTAAATTTGATACTAAGAGATTGATGTTTTCATTAACTGAAGAAGCTTGTCAAAGCACAAAATTTGAAGTATCATCGAGTTAGATGAAAATAATGTTTGTTAAAGCCAAGCGTATATATGAATTTTACAGCCAGTATATCCTATTACCTATTGTTTTTTACACCCTTGCTATATTCAGCCAGCATTTCTTAGCGATGATTAAGGGATTTTCAAGGGATTATCTAAGTACGAGATGAACAATGGGATAAAAAGGTGGCTCAGCCTCTTTAATGATTAAATAACTCTTGAACAGGCATTTTGCTCATGCCATATGAGCGTGTGATGCCTCATGTAAGGTCAGTTTTTTTGCGCTTCTAAATCACACCTATTTTACTCGTATCGATTTACAACCCTTGACACAGTTGGTGAGCACGGATGGTCTTTTTTCTCTCAGATTTTCTTCTCAGATGAGACGCTGTTTTCGAGAGCGAGACACTCCTTGACATCAAATCATTTTCATTGGTAAAATTATGAAAACGCCACTCTGGTTTCTAGTATTGAAAACTTCTTGAAACATTTAAATATGGGAGATACACCCGAAAGTCCTTCATTTATGCTCAAAAAATGTCATGTAAAAATATGAATTAATTTTCCCCGAAGAAAAATTATATAACAGCATACATTTTAAAGAGTCAGTCTTCGAGCTAGTATTTTTCTAGTCTCATTCGAGCTAGTATTTTTCTAGTCTCATTATTGACATTCTAATTTTTAGGTTAAATTAAGAGAAAACATGTATGAATTTTCTCTCGAGTAAGGTACTTACATCATCATGAAGCCAACTTTTACGCATTTTAGCATCTGCTTTTGATTGATCATTCAATGAGGCGCTTGGAGGACAAGGCGTATAAGAGAAGTTTTTGCTATTTCGAGAAATACGTGTTTGAAATTTCGAAATTACACGGATCCGTATTGCGGAGAGGAAGTTCAAACTGACTCTTTGATGCTTAAAAATTGAAATTTTGGATCGAATTTTTTTTACAGAATATGCATTAAGACTAGTTTCACTTGAAATCATTAATGTCTCATTTTTTTTCAAAAACAGCACTTATTTGATTTGTCCTCCAGGCCCTTCAAATGTAGATTAATCACAATCTCCTAAAACTATTTTCATTTTGCACTGGGGAGCTTTTCTCTCTTCACTTTTACGATTTGGCAAAAACAGCTCATATATGTGCGAATGGTGGTATTCCTTAAATGACACATGTTCTTGTATTGGCCAGTGTTAGAAAGTCATTTATCTGTGATGACTTGCGTCGCGTCGTGGGCTTTCAAAAGTCAGTAGATACGTATCTTTGTAATTTAAATTCGTTTATAGACGTACTTCGAAGAGCAAGAGCAGACGTTCTCTACAGTCAATCAGTTAGGATTTGGCAAGTGATCAAAAAAAGTCATCACCTTTTGAGCATGAGTATTTCAAAAATCGACCGACAATGGGAAAAGGTCTCTTGGATCTGGAGTCCAGACTCTTGGAAGATTTGACAAAACAATTGAAGTCTTGAAAATCGGATTTTTGCTCGAATCAAAAGGAAATTTGCTTAAACTAAGAGGCGCGGCTCTCGATACAAGTAAAAATGCGATTTAAGCAAGAGTATTTTTTCTTGACAATTTTTTTAGAATCTAGACTTAGGGTCCAAGATACTTTTTTTTAAGTGTCGTCTACAGCAAACACCAAATCGACCGGTTGAAATGCAAAATTAAGAGGTCATTTCTCATCGAGAGAAAGATCGAATATAGCAATAAGAGATCTCATTTAGAGATTTTTGCAAGAAGAGGGTTTTATTCTTCAACGATTTGGCACGTTCTGCATGTCAAGTTGTGATGATTGAGTGTTCCGATCACAATTTTTCGGAACTGATCCGTAAACATCAAAATATCCTAATTTTTAAACAAAATATTTACAATGGATATACGGAGCATGGATATCTGAAGTACCTGTTTGAAGTTTGAATTCGCTAGAACAATAGTTGCATGTAGATGTGCTCAAGAAATGTGTTGTTTCTCAAGTGGGTGCAATTAGTAAACAAGAGGTGTGTGTACAGAACACTGCATTGGGCGTTAATCCCTTAAACCGAGTAAGCTGTTGTCTTGCTGCTCTCTCTACTTTTTATATATCCTGCATTCCAAATCAGCATAATACACAGAAGAAAAGTAAATGAACTTGACACTTACCTGTCACGACAGATCCTACCTGTGTACATTTTCTATTTTTGCCTTGTTGTACCAATTTTTGAAGTGTATTTTTCTTGTACTATATCTGCTGCAGCAGGTACAAATTTAACGGAAATGTTACTTTAAATATTAGGATTCAGTAAATATTGAATAGCATTGCGAATAATACAAGAATAATAATTTATATTTGAACTGACTGGTACCCCGATGACGTCATCAACGGTTCTTCGATGACCATAGCTGAGAATAACCAAAAATGGTCGAAAGAGCTCAAAATATTCCTAAACTATACTATAAGCTCCGAGACCTCCTAAATTTGCACATGTGGTAACGAACTTGTGTAGTTCCAGGGTTCTACTGAGTTGATTTTCATGATTTTTGCAAGTTCCGATAAGCAATTGAAGACACCGCACCAAGAACAGCCTATAACTGGAAACCGCGTTTTGAGAAAAACGCATTTAAAGTTTTGTTTTTGATGTATTGAGCAGACTTTTCTATGCAGGTGCCCTGTTTTGGTTTTTTGGGTGACCTAACCCTTCTACTGAAGGATGCCGGGTAGATTTTGCAATACATTTTGGGTTTACACTCTCATATATTTAATTTAAAAAAGCTGTTTATAGGCCATAATTACGCTCAACAGTCATTTTGGTGGCAATATGAAGTATGAATCATTTTAATCACTTATGATTAACGCAAAATGAAAGAATATCGATAGTGAGTAAAGGAAGGGGTAACAAGCACCTTATAGACCCGTTTACAGGTCGTTCTTGCAACCATCGATCCAGAGGCCTGACTTAACTCGGAAAAAAAAGGCTTTTCGACCTCGAGCCGTTACCTATCTATATTCTATCGCTACCACAGCATACTCCAGGGTACGTAGAATCCGAAAAGCAGATGGGCGTAATAACGACCTATACGCCTATACACTGGAAAAAAAAGTAGCTTGAAACAAATCAAAATCAGCTTGAAGGAAGCTGGAAAAAATCTTAAATTTGCCGCCAAGAAACTTATAACTTGAAATAAGCATGGCCGTGCTGCTTGAAATTAGCTACCCGGCGGAATCTTAATTATTTTTCGTATAATGCTCGGATCCAATACTAAATACTGAAAGTTTTATTCATTTTTCATAAAATTCCGTAACGTAGGGATAAAACGTTACTGATTCTTCAACATGGATCATGTTGAAGTCGTCGTGCGTTGCCGCGGGTTTTGTTCTCGGTTTGCAGCGCACTGTTAAAATGCGCGGCTTTTGGAGATCTCCTGGAATGACTTGAGAATGTAGGAATGTGTAACTTAATGCCCGTGCGAAAATGAAGGCGGAGTGGTTAAAATCCAATGGAAACTTAATTCAAGAAGTTGGCTGCAAACTTAATTTAAGTCTAATTTTTTCATCTATTTCCAAGATTCGTGTCATGCTTGAAACCAGGAATCTTGAATCGAGTATACATTATCTTGAATCAAGAAACAACTTCTTAGAATTAGCAGCCATGGTGGCTTGATGTAAGACTCAGCAGGTTTGACTCAAGATTTTTGTGCTGCTTAAATAATAATAATAATAATAATAATTTATTTTATTTGTAAATGCACATTTATAACGAAAATTTAACGAGGCAGGAAATATTGAATCTTGGTCCGTCAGTAGAGTAAAGAAAGTGATTTTAAAGTAAGTGAAATCTCCTTTGCCGCAGACGATATATTTAAAAGTGACGAAACGCTCCGTTCCGTTCATGCTGTTTCGTTTAAGCGTTGGCATGAAGTTGAAAATAAATAACGATTTTTTTCATGTGATTCTCAATGGTCCAATCGCTCCCGACCACAGGGAGATGGGACAAATAATGAGAGTCGGTTATGAAAATCTTTTCAACTTTTTTTCGGTCGTTCTTTTGTCAAAGCGGGCCCAAGAGAGCGCGAAGCGCCCTCTGTGGGGCATGACTCCTTGGTATGGAATATTCCGGAAGCAAAAGGTAGGTGGCATCAGAATACCATCGAGAGGGAGGGGGAGGGGCAAAGGGGGATGAAAATAGTGGTTATAGAAGAAAATTAACATTTTTCAGAGTGTTTTCGCCAGCATTGTTTTGTAGAGACTCACGTAAAACAAAAAACCTATTCTAGTTATGACGTTTAATAATCCTAATTTTTCAAAGAAAACATGTGAACGATGTGGTTTGGAAATTTAACAGAATTTTCTCCACGGGGTGAAACAAACAAAACAACTGAAAAAAGAACGTCACTTATGGTTGGACTTCGTTTAGCAGAAAGGAATCAAGCCTCCAGGTATTGCCAAATTTAAATAGGCAATTTAATTTTTTTACATTAGAGCGTTTGTGCGGATTCCTTTTAAAAGTTCAAGGAAATTGCTTCGCTCTAAGCAGAAAATTCACTTAAATTTGCACAAAAATCCGCACAACCGTTTTCATGTAAAATAATGAATTGCCCCATGAAATTTGGCAATAGCTGATGTGGCTTGATTCCTTTCTGCTTACGCGGTCCAGTAATTCCCTCATGGAATACATTGTGACGAGAAATCTACAATGTCCAAAATCGAGAGACATGTTTTTCGATCTCAGAGAAAGAGGTGAGACGAGAGTGCCCTTTTTTCGAGGATAGGGAAAAACATGCGAAGTTGAAATTTTTTCAGATCTACAACATGGATTTCCTCTGAGATAAAGGAGGTATATTGCTATGAATCGTACCATTTAACAATGTAATCCCACATATCCGACTAATTACTATTCGGTAAACAGTAAGAGGCTTTGCAGTTTTATCTAGGTCATAAATCTATCGATTTTCCATTCTAGCAACTCCAAACTCATGATACCTGACTACCTAATTTTTAAAGAGTATATTCTGAAGATTATCAAGAGTTAATTAGGGTATTGATTTAATGATGGTTTCCCACAAGAGTAAAAAATTTATTGTGCAATTATCTTGCGATATATACTTAACACGACAGAAACAATTTTTAACTTGTTTCTGTGCGCACTAAGAATGCAAAAAGGCACTCATTGGAGAAGTAACAAATTGAGTATAGCAATAACCTGAAGTATAAGAGGAACTCAAATCGGACTAAATTTTGCAATTAGGAACTATAACTTCCGGCCCGGTTTAAAAACAACGTATATGTCATTCGTTTCCCTATGCACATAAGTGTTTTTTCAGATGAGCCAGAATTTATAGCTCCAAATTGCAAAATGCAGTCCAATTAAAAATTAGCCGAGCAAACTTGAAGAGTTATAGCTTTAGAAGAGTAAAAATGCGATTGTATGCAGGAATACGCAAAGAAAGTATGTGAAGGACCAGGAAAATTCCAGGAGTTTAGAGGGCGACAATCTCATAACTCAGGAATGCAGTGCCAGTGATATGATCATATATCAGAAGAATCATCTCGCTGCAGTTATCACTCTTAAGTGGGCACCATCTACCAGCGACTCAATTTTGAATAGTTGTGGACTTTTCCTTTTTTCAGGTATGATTAGAAGGGGAGAGAGGAGGGGGCAAGCGCTGCCAACATAATGATTGCGCAAAAGCATACGAATGGAAAAATTCCTTGTTCATAATGCGAGGAATTTCTGCAACGTTCGGGATAAGTGTGTCTCTAGCGTAAACGCAAACTTTAGTCAGCATGAAAAAACGCGTATTTCCGTTTGTGTTGTTGCAGAGTTCTTGTCTTATACTTTACCCTTTAAATGAAAAAATACTTAAAGCCATATCTTGAAAACATCTGCGATTAATCATCTTTTTGTGATGAATATTCCGTGAAAATTTCAAGTCATGATGTGGATTCGTTTCTCTTTAAAAAAAATGAATTTGGTACGGGGATTTAAAAATTCCGGAACCGAGATAAGCGGTTTTACAGTTTCGCCGTCAAGTGAGACGGAAGTTGAATGACGATGTGTCCGCTTTTACGCCTTTTGTTCAAATTTTTCCGATGTTTGCACTCCACTTCAAGTTAATCTCAAGGAGATGCTGTCATGATAAATTATCACTCATCAAACATCTTGTATTTAGTGCTTGATTAATATCCTGTCCACGATTGACCCATTATGTCTTTTTTCCTCCTCTCTATACTTTCTACATTGTATACAATCAATTTTTGATCAGGACAGGACTGCATTTACTGTTTCTCATTTTTCAATCGATATTGTTCTGGTAGATGGGTTGATACATGAAAATTCCAGTAACGAGGAATGAATGATCGATTATCGATATTTCCCCATTTGTAGCTATGGTAAATGATCGATTTTAAAGGTGTTCTTTGCGATCACCCTTTTAATCGATCCTTTTCCATAGGTTTAACCGGCTGATCAATCGATTAATCTCTAAGAACGCCACACCACTGCACACCGTACTTATAAAAATATTCGTGTTCTTGGGTTACTTTGGGTTAATATAGGAAGTAAAACACAAACCAACACGAATTTTGTGTTGACTTTGGTACAATTTGGGGTAAATTTAAGCGCAGAACACAGGAGAACTGGGAAAATGCATTCCTTCGATAACTACGATGGTATTCACCACACGTTTTTTTATTAAATTTCTTTTAGAAAACTATAGCTGACATTTTCACTTGAAACTGTCAATCAAAGGCTAGAGTTATTTTGTGTCTTACTTCCCACATTAACCTAACTTTTTTGTTGAAATTTCTCTCTGTATGGAAGTTTCCGACTTCATTGTGCTAATTAAGAAGTTTCGTGCACGAACGTGCTGGGTAGCATTTTTGAATAAATAAATAATTTCCTGATTTTTCCGAGCCAAATTAAGCAATGCATGTAGAAATGGGAGTGTCAGAAATCATATTCTCGTCTCTGTGGCATAGCTGAAAAAACTACATTATCTATGATCGTACTATTTTTCAACAAATAGCATTGTTAGAGATTTTTTAAGAGGCCGTGAATTATCAATTAGACTTCCTCTCCTTTAGACTTAAAAGTAGAACTTATCTAACCCCAACTGTTCATTCTGCTTGCATTATAAACGTCAATTCATTGTGAGACGTGCAGATTAATAGGATGATATGGACGTATTTCTATCAAAAGGAACTATGTGCATTAAGACATGAGCCCTGAGACCCATACAAATAGATGCATTACAGGGCTCACGTCACAATGTACATAGTTCCATTTGATAGAAATACGTCCTTATAGCAATGATAAAACAAGACATAAGATACGTGCACGTAATCATTTTTATTCTTATTTATTTTAGCTACATCATAAAATTTTTATAAAGCACGACAGATTTGGACAGAATATTAGAGTTTATTTTCGATAAACGAATACACGCAATACAAAGAAAACTGAAGAAAATTGAGAGTTCTCGCATACGGAGGAAGGAAACCCCATTGTAAGATTCATAGACTACTTGAAAATGTGAATAATACTTGAATGGACATGAATCTCTCAAATATTATCACATCATCTGTGATGTTTTTGAAGGCTCAGTACAAAAGAAAAAAGTACAAAAAATAACAATGGAAAAAAGCCACTCTAAATTAAAATCATAAATTAAAGTATGATGAAATAACACTTTTACCGATTAATTTTGGTGGGCTTCAATCTATTACAATCATTTTCAATCGTAAATTGTTGGCGGGAAAATTTTGGATCAGATGTTTTGGAAGTGATAACTTATTTTTCAGTGTGCGCTGAACAACATATAGTTTGAATAACAAGTCGTCTTCACATATGACATTCATTGCCAATATAATGATTGGAAAAAGAAAACTTTCAGAAATCCTTCATTTGAGACTGAGACTTCCCGCCTCCAGGGGAGCACGAATAGTTGCATAGCCAACAAACCGAAGGCGGACTATGAAGCTCGTCGACACGATGTACACTTGTATGCACCAAAGATGGGGTTAGTCGATTGAAAACAAGCTGTCTTTTCTGAAATGTTGACGAGCCTCCAACATTTTAGCTCTTATATTTTAGATATAGAAGTTCATGAGTATTTTTTGGGCTAACATAAAATAAATACAATATGAGATCAAGCACAGATTGAGTTAAAGTGAAAAATTTTTGGACCGGGATCAATTTCGGCATACATTTGGACATGAAAGGAACATCGAGGGGTACACTGAAGTAAATTATCCTTTTGAGAGTGCATGGGTTTCTACGGAGAAATTGTTTTCGTTAGAAAATATTTGAGCGAGTATTGTACTCGAAGACATGTTACTTTGTAACCTACATTTTGGGGATGTATTTTGGTTAGACGGTAAAAAAATAAAATGTCCTTACAGGTACAATAAAACAGAAAATTAAAAAACGTAACTTCTTTTCTGACAGACTGCGTGAATTTTTTCATTTTAATGATTGCAACATCAAAGTAAATAGAGGAAAAAGGGTTTAAATAGCTATTTGAATGAATGGTCTTTTATTTCAATTGTTTTAGCGAGTTAAGAATCAATTTTTCTCTAAAATCAATGACATTTTCCTTAAGACATTTTATTCCATGACGCGCTAATTCCATATCAGGAACTGTTAGACATGAGTTTCAACCTGATTAACTTAAAAGTATAAACAAATAAATTAAAATTTTAAACAATAAAAATTTGAATAATCTGCGGATAAAAAATAATTTTAATATCACAGTGTATAACCCTAATTATCTTACGACTACACATGATGTAGACAGGGTAAAAGAGAGACAGAAGTATCCCATTGAGTATGGGCTCACTGACAATAAATACACCTATATAAATACAATATTCACAACATGTTGTCAAAACTATTGCTTCATACAATTAGTCTTAACAACAAAACACCCCCACTTCACACAAATTATGCAAGGTTAACTTGACATGAGCATCAAAAATGGAGTACAGAGAACAGAAATTCATGTACTACAGTTACTACGTTTCATTCATTTTAATCAAACAAAAATTTATGACGTTGTTCGGTAGGCCGAGACATAATTTGCTGATTAGACAGCCAATGTCTAGAAGCGTGTAAGTGGACAAAGCAAAATGAAAAATTAAATGAAGTGCATTAGATTAATATAAGAGCATTTGATGAATAACAGATACTTTAATTGGATAATCACCAACAGAATCTAAAATATTTGCTCTCTTAGATTTAAAAATTCGTGTCTAATTCATTTCTCATTCTTTTTACGCTAATTCAAAGAGGGAAGCGTCGAAGTTTTGAAATTTCTTTTTGACATTACGCTAAACGATAAACGCATTCATCGTTTTGAATGACTTTCCTTTACGTACAAAACTATGTAGCATGACGACGGCGGAACTGCAAAAATGCGTATATCGAGTGCCGTGTTTCAAATTTTCCGCTCCTATTTTATTTTTTCAAAAGAAACCAAACCAACACCATGGTTTGACATTCTCGAAGACTATTCTTCTCATTGTTGAAAAAATATCCAGTGAGGACACTTCTAATTTGAAAACACTTGACGTCACTAAACACAGGAGGAACGTGCATTGCAATTTCGCCTCAATTTTTCGACCATGGTAATTTTTTAGTGAAAGCCTCAAACTTAAATGAGCAATCTTGTTTTTGGGAACAAAAATAAATAAAATTTTCGACGAACTCAATTAAATTACGATGCCTTATAACTTTCATTTCTTTTGAGCAATTCACTTTTGTTCGCTTGAAACTAACTGCAATATTTAAATTATTTAGACTAGATAGAGTTACATGTTCAACCTTTGATGCTTTTGGTGAAATGAACAGCTGAGGAGTATTAAACACAATAAAGTATTCGCTCAACCTTAGACATTAATTGCGTAAGGTAGCGTGCCTATATATGGTCATAGGAGATCTTGTTCCGAGTTTAGAGTTTGCGAATCAGAACAGGAAAGCTCAATCGAACACAGAGCTTCACAAATTGTGTTGCGCAGGTCACTAGGTGACAATTGAAGAGTTTCAAAAATCCAGGTCAGATGGTAAAAATTAATTTTAATTTTGTCTTGAAAATTCTGTAGAAGTCCTTAAAACTAAGTGAAATGTGTAAAAAGTGAACTTTGGCAAATTTATTATTTATGTTATTTGATGTTTTGGTCTATTGCTTTGTTTTTGAAACAGTGATATCCAAAAAAAGTAGGAGTTGAAAATCTCCTCACAAAAATTAACCGCATAACAGTCTACATATATATGTGAGTAAAACTGAATGTCCTTACGCATTGTGAAGAAGTATCCCTTGTATCGTCCATTCTCTAACAGGGTAACTTACACACTGAAGCTGTATCTTTACTCTACATTTTGCCTCACCATATTATTTTTGTTGGTGTGAATTTTACTTTACATAAGCTTAAAACAAGGAAAAAAATACTGGAACAGCACAGTTTTTTTCTTGTCGTTTCGTACAAAGCAAATGAGCATAAGTGCAAAACAAAATCAGTGTTTCAAGAATATATATGAATCCGATGGGATTTTCTTAGACAATGCTTATGTTGTTGACGATGTGCAGAATTTTATCTTTGGATTACCTCAAAAATCACTTACTTATGCCCAACAGAGAAAATCAATCAATTTTATTATTTCGTTGGAAAAAAATACCCTGCATTAAAATGTCCCGAAAAAGCAAGCGATAAAAATCCCCTTTTCCCGCAAACTCCTGCACGAACAAAACCTCCTCGGACCAACTGTGCTCTTACAGATCTGTGTCGCAAATTGAACTAAAATTTACAAAGGTCGCCAGGGTAGGCCGAGCAAGTGTTGTGAAGTGGGGGCTGAATCTCAGTATGCGGTGGTTGGGCTCGGGTGGTGATGATGGTGGTGATGGTACAGCGAGTGATGATAGTGACTGCTCAAATGGTTCGGGAAGTGGTGATGGTGGTGATGGTGGTTGTTGAGCGGTGAGTGGTGCTCGCTCGGTGGCGTCGCCATTCCATACCTGTTGAAATGGAAAAAGAACGTTTGATTAGGTCATGAAGCGGTGATCAACTCGACAAAAATTATGAGAAAATAGATACGCTGTTAAATTCAACAAAATACACTTGATTATAGCTTATGTTCTCTGCAGGTCAATTTTTATAGGGTATATGGACGTCCGTTGCCTAAACATTTTATTTGTTCGCAATTTAATTAAAAAAATATCTGTATACACCTTCTGGCAGGCTGATTATTGCAAATTGATGGACAAAATGATAGATAGACAAAAAAGACGACAGGAGAATGCCGATTCTGTTGGTTGAAACGGGTGGTTGATATTCTTTAAATTTGATTTTTATTTAAAATTGATCCTTTAAAATTGATTATTACACTGAAAAAAAGTATGATAAAATTTACCATAAGTCTTTTTGATTTTTTACACAGTGATACTATTTAGTGAAAATAACCAGAATTATAGTAGTATTCACCAGAACTCAGGTGATACATACCAAAATATGGTAAATACTACCACAGAGTCTGGTGTTTATTACCTGGCTTGTATCACTATGTTAGAGTATGGTAAAATCTACCATATTTTTTTTCAGTGTATGAATTTTATTTTATTTTTAAATTTTTATCTTTCCCTTTCAATATATTTTCATTGGCTGCTTGAAAGGTAGGTTAACTCACCACTCTAAATTGCTATTCTGGTGATGGTGAGGAGGTGTGGTTGGTGGTAAGATGCTATTGGGCGTCGTGGCCGGGTTGCTGGCATTGCTGCTGTTGTTGTTGTTGGAGGTGGAGTTGTGGGTTCGTCCCCCGCCGCCGCCTCCTCCGCCTCCACCGCCGCCGCCTCCACTCGAACTGATGTTCTCGGTCACCGTCACCGTAATCGATCCCGCCGACGATGAGTTGGAGTCGTCACTGTCGTAGCCGCCCGGAGACGTTTTACCACCGCTACCGTGAACCTATCCACAAAAACAATCGAAATTAGTCAACACATTTTGAAAAAAGGAGGAACATATCGTTAAAAAGAGGGGAATAGAGAGGGAGAGAGAGAGGGAGGGGGGAGAGAGAGGCGGGGTAATATAGCGGAACTAAGAATTTTTTGAGGTACGCATCTCTGCAGTTTTATCATCGATATACTTGTCTCAGTTTTGTGCGCCTTCATTTCTCGTGATACTTCATGCTCCGCCGTGGAGTTAGTTTAGTTGCTTAACCCAACTGAACCTAAACCTTCCACCAGGAATATAATAGAGTCCGCGCTGCTGACTAAGGTTACGCACTATGAGACTGTGACAGATGATCTGTCATCTTCCTCTTGCATTTAGTTTCCATGCGAAACTGACGTCGGACGATCTTCTATCGCTGTCTAAAAGTGCGTAAACTTATTGAGCGTCGATTCTACTTCATAGGAGACCGCATTTATATGCGCAATGGACCAGTGGAGAAGGTGCAAATTCAAGTATTATGACAAATGTTTCCTGACCAAAATTTCACGTAAAACACGATGCGCGCGACGAAAATTACCAACATGTACTCCTGACTTAGATTTGAGCGTATCTAGTTTACACTGGCCACGGGAAATTCGAATTCCCCACTCACAAAATAAACAATTCTACTTGAATCATATCGCGCACTTTAAAGATTTGACAGGCTTCTTAATCGAGCCAATTTCCTTCCTGCTTGTTTTATGCGAAATGTCAGCAACGCGCAACAGCTGAGTCGAAGCGCCAAGATTAAGGTTGCCATATTTTTATACCGCAGAGACTTTTACGGCACTTTGTAGTACGCAATTCGACTCAAATAGACTTCTGTTTTTTTCGTGAGCGGGAAGTTTTAATTTACGCAACAAAAGCCGTTAAATATCTTAGTCAGGAGTTCAATTAAGCTTTCAATTTTACAAAAATCGTGTCTAAAGTGAAATTTTGCATGGACACCATTCGCTATTTTGCTGAAATTAGCTTATCTACCAGTTCATTGGCGGTTCATTTGGAGACTTTAACGCGAGAGTAGAAACGTGATCCCCTTTTTTTCTGTCATTTTTAGACGATCGGACGTGGATGGATGCAAAGAATGTGGATAAAAGGAATTAGAAGGACGAGAAAAAGTGATTGTTTTTCCTTTAAGAGGCGATTAAAATACTTTAAAAAGGTTGATGACAAGCAATTTTAAAGCAAATTCTGCCTTGTCTAGTTCTAGTTGACGTATTGAATCACTTTTGAGGCAGCTTATTTTCTTAAGGATAATACGATACGATACGATTAATGATCGACATCCTGCAGGCTGACCTTTGATCTTCGATCAAAATGAACGATTTTCCTGATATATAGGCATAAATAAATTTTACAAGGTATGATTATACAATAAAGTAAAATATTTTACAATTGCTGCGTACCTTCATATGTTTTCTAAGTGAGCTAGGGTGGGTATAAGATTTATCACATCCTGAGACTCGGCAGTTGTAAGGTTTGTCCGAGGTATGAACGTGAGAATGTTTTTTCCTATCCGAACTATTTGCAAATCTCCTATCACAACCTTCAAATTCACATTTAAACGGCTTTTCTCCTGCAACAAAAAAGGAAACACTATTGTTAAAATCATGATTAGAATCTTATGAGAAATGTACGAAAACATCCTGCAACACTTGACGAAAAAAAATCATAAAATTCCATCGAGGCAACGTAAACTCGACGAAAATAGTCAGTACCGCCAATCGCAAGTGTCTAGAGGCAAGGAGCTCCTTCATAATTTGAAGTAGGCAATCATCTATACGCATTATACGTAAATAAGATGGAATGCCGGCCCTCTCGCAAAAGGACATAAACGTGACGGGACGGTTATAGAGCAGTACATTGTATTTTCTTGCTTTTGTACGTTCTATCTACATTAAAGATATTCAAATTCGATTATATTTCTTGGTTATACCATAAGTTGTATGTAGAATTGATCATATATATAAAGCTGGCAATACTAGGATTCGCCGATTTGAACATACAAGTAAAACAATCGATACTTGTCAAACACGCAGCCCTACCTAAAATCGACTATTTTAATTCTATTTTAATGAGAGGACGGACAGGTAGGACGCGGTTTTTAAAAAATAGCGCATCTCGATAGCGATTTTTAAAAATTTCTGCTCATATTTTATTTTTTCTGAGAAGACTCCTCGACAACTTTGTGCAATATTTTCAGACCTTCCTCAGAAAAAGAATTCGTGACAAGAGATTTGCATTATCGCAAACCAAACGCGTGGTTTTGGTACTTTCACCATTGATATCCACGTAGCTTTTTTTGGTAAATCCATGCTTTGTTGGCAACTCTGTCTTGGGAAAATTATCCCCCTTCCGCTTGGCTATTACTGTGCCATCCGAGGGAGAAACGCCGTATGACCATTCCATAGTTGCCAACTTTTCTCCGATAAAACATCACTTTTTGAGCATAGTTAAGAGTGCTTTTCTTGGAAATTTTCAGACATTCAAGATCAAATTGCGAAATTAATTCTAGTAAAAATTCGTAGAAAAGCGTAGATAAGTTTTCCAGAAAATTCGACTTTTGTTCGGGAAAATTTGGCAACGTTTGAGGGCTCACACGGCGTTTCTTTTCACCGCAGGAAGACTGTACTCCGACCAACATCGGTTATCCGCCAAATCCCATGACCACTCCACTGGTAGCGTATTACCCAAAGCTCATTAGGTATGCAAGTGGAGTCGCACTTAACATTGTCGTCATCTGACATTATTTTTCTGCACGGTGTCTGACCTCGTCATGAAATTATGAATTGGAGGTAGAAAGAAAAATAGGGACTAATTTAAACACCCTACCTCATCATTTTTCAGTCTGGTACCACGCTTTCCAAACATTCAGAAAAAAACATTTTAAAACCCTTTTTCAGGTCCAAAAACTATCAATAAATGTTTAGAGAAATGATCATACTAAGAATAAAAGCTGCATGTTCCTACATAAAGAGAGAAGCAAATATTGTTTACTGTACTCAGGATATTTAACCATTTATCTGGACAAGAATAATTGCGATCATAAATTGTTTCCTCATTAATACAAGAATTGAAATATCTCTTGTAACGATAACAATGATGAGTCGCATAAGCGTAGACTAAGTTTATTGCTAAGATAGTGAGAAAACAAATGATTAAGCTTTGCTGCAGTAATCTTCATATTTTTCTCATTTTTTCAGAAGAATTGAAAGTTATAGGTTCTGTATTGGATGCGGCTTCTAAGTAATCTGAATTATCTGAGTGTGTAAGTGAGCCGATAACATAGCCATATTACCCCTTCAATTTGCGAGGCTAACTACAGAAGTTACTCCTTACAACAATAGCTATCGATTCAAAACACTGTTTTCAAGCACGTTACTTCCCAAATAGCAGATCACGTCAAACCTCGATAAAATTACACTAATCCTGAAGAAGATAGTTTCTTAACTGTAGTTTCGTCGATTTTTACTAAATATTTGTGGTTCGAAACTACATATATTCTTATTTGCCTAACTTGTCAGGGATTCGAGTTTTTCTGTTGTCCATGCACAATGTGCAACCATCGCACTTATATTTTATGATTAAATGCATTACCGAATCTTTTTCGTATTCAAATCGGCCGATTCCGTCGAAATTGAAAGAGGCATCGTCCACATTCTCTAGATGTAAAATATCATTCGGCTTACGTACATAATGGCCAAGATTGAAATCGCTTTGTAAGTTTTTCATACACATAGGAATTCAAGAAGGCAACTTAGAGGCAACCGTATCTGTTGCCCAAACCTGGCCTGCATGAGGGGCAGAGAGCAGCGCTGCCATTTTTCAAGTATAAGCATGGTATAAATTAAAACTGAATTGTTTGGGATTCGTTTTTATATGAAAAGGGGGCCGTAATTTACGCATTCGATTCCAGATCAAGTCAAATTTTATCCAACTCTAAAATTAATCTATCGAACTTAATAACCGCAGTATTGAAATTTTCCCACTCTATAATGTACCATGAACTCTATCCCTTCGGTTTCTGGCAAAGATAAAAAAATCTGGGTCTTGTATAGAGGATATGCAGATGATGAGCTTATTAAACATTTTTATTTGCTAATAACCAAAAAATCATGTATACAGGTCAAGCAGATCATCGGAAATTTGGATAAGAGCAATAAAGGAGCTGATATAATGGGGAAACTATCTTGAAAACCCCGAATTGTTCAAATGATATTTCTTTTTCGGTGCTCGCAACCGAATCATTCGGTTTGCTCGACTGAATTTCAGAATATTTCGTTTTGCATAAAAAACCTAGACACATAGCATCCGAATAGTTTGGATTTCCCAAAATTGTTTTCCAATTCTACTAGCTCTATTTTTACTACTTCTTTTTTCGATTTGCTCAGCAGAACTATTCGATCGAGGTAACACAAATCCTGAGATTTAATAGACCAAACCGAACAAAAATACTTACACAGAAGCCGCTTTTACAGCGCTCTCCAGCGCTCTGCGACTTCCAGCCGCCAAAGTCCCCCATCCTCTCAGAGCCCTCCAGAGAGTTGGCACTCCCCCATCTCTCAAACAAAAATAAGTTCCAAAATAGTTCGATTGTACTGAATTTCGTTTTAGAATGTATAAATTATAATCGTTTAGAAGGGAGAATCAAATAATTTTCTGGATAATCGGCAACCAAGAGGGTTCTCCGAGAGGCTAATTGTGAAGGAAGAAACAGACACACACGAGAGATGAAGTTAACGAGATTTATAGTGTGAGATGGAAGTCAGGAGAGCGAGGCGATCTGATACCTCCTCGGTTTTCCGAGATCCTTATCTTGACATTTTGAAAAGTGCGATATGACATACCTATTAAAAGACCACCAAAATATCATCCGCCCGTATTATGAATGGCCATTATCCGCCCGTCCCATACCTGGGCCCGGACCCGAGTTATTGATATTCAGAGAACATTTTACAACTGGTAATATTGTTGATCGATCCTTGTTCCGCGTCACACGAGAACCGGTCGTCAACCAGCGTTTCTCCGATTGATCTTTTCGGTGGCCGATTCGAAAATCGATCGGGCCGCTGTCTCGGTGGTTTTACAATCCCGAAAGGTCACCTTTACAGACGCTCGACGCAAGATAAACAGCGCCTTTTAATGAAATGTCTCGTTCCCGTTTTCGCTCGCGAACCCCCTGTCATCGACTCTGCGAACCAATCGACTTTGAAATCAATTTGACCCGATTTCGGGGACTTCGCCTCGGTTTATTGCCCGTCCTGAGATGAGATGAAAAGGCAGTCGATTCTTGTCAGTCACCTGTGCTACAACCGAATACCACTCCACTAAATTGGGCTTCATCTTGGAATATGGACCCGCACTATTTCTTACTCATCTATAAAAATACGCCTATCTGTATAGTGCAACAAATGACGAATATATTGTTTCTGAAATAATCTAGAAAATGTCGCACTTGAATGGTAAGCACAGTCCAATTAAGAGGTCGCCACGCCTAGTGACGTCATTCAGCGGCATTTCTCATTAAAAAACATTTTTATGGCAGATTAGGTCATTTGGATGTTTTGAATGGAGAATTTGCAAGTGTCTGTTTGGTGAATGGAAAATTCGTGCGAATTTTTTTTATTGCTGCTTCTGATACTGTTGAACGAGCTGCGTTCGCAGGATTTTTCATGAGTTTTTTACTTAGTGGGGAAACTAAAAGAAAATGGATTCAAAAGTGAAAATATCAGCCACCTTCGGGCATCATCAGGTGGCCTAATTCCCATAACCCATTTTTATAGCAGATAGGTCATGTGGTCATATCTCTTCTTATAATTGTTCATTCGGGACACCGAGGATATTTTCATGCTCAGTTCACTAAGTAGCTCCCCTAAACATGAAATTCACACCAAATTTTAGACCCCCGCAAATTCTCCATTTTCAGTATCTGCTTGCATGCTGAACGGCGATGTCACCCGCAAAAAAACCGAGTCAATCATAGCGTGCACTTACGCTCTGTACGATGACATCATCCATCATGCCCTGAGAGGCGATGTTTCCGTCAGTATTGGATTTAGAAACATACGACTCGGGCACATCCCATACTGCCGTGCTAAGGAAGAACGCCGTAAGAACATTCGAGAGTTGCCAAATTTCCTTCGATAAAATGTTTATTTTTGAGGAAAGCTATGAGTATTTTTCCGAGAAATTTTCAAGAACTTCGGGTAAAATTGCGAACAAAATTACCTGAAAAATGAACCACTAGACAAGGTACGAATTTAAGCATTCTGATACATATTTTTTAACCAAAATTTCACGTGAAACACGATACGCACAACAAAAATTACCGAAATCAACTCCTTACAATGATATTAAATGATTCCTGATGCGTGAATTCAAACCACCCGCTCATTAAAACTCAATGCTCTACGTGATTCGAATTGCGCGCTGAACATTATCATGACAGTCTTTGCGATATACAAATCTGGCAACCTCAATTTTGACGCTTGGACTTAGCTATAGCAAATTGCTTATAATTTGAACAACACATGGTGGGTTATGAACAGTGATCGATTGAGAGGCTAGCTGAAACTG